GACCATTGGAGATGTCCATTGTAGAGCATTGGAGATGATGCCCATCCTGATCCTCCATTGACCCCCATGGGGCCTCCTCCATTGACCCCCATGGTGCCTCCTCCATTGACCCCCATGGTGCCTCCTCCATTGACCCCCATGGGGCCTCCTCTCCCCATAGGCTATGTCGGTGCCGCCACCGTTGGTGCGGCCGCCTGGTGGTTCCTATTCGCTGAAGATGGCCCCAACGTCAGCTACCACCAACTGGTGAGTACTGGAGCCCCATGGGGCCCCATTGGCCATGGGTCGAGCAATGGGGCTCCATTGACCATGGCTTGCCCAATGGGACCCCATTGACCATAGATTGACCAATGGGACCCCATTGACCATGGGTCGAGCAATGGGGCCCCATTGACCATAGATTGACCAATGGGACCCCATTGACCATGGGTCGAGCAATGGGGCCCCATTGACCATAGATTGACCAATGGGACCCCATTGACCATGGCTTGCCCAATGGGACCCCATTGCCCATGGGTTGCCCAATGGGACCCCACTGACCATGAATTGACCAATGGGGTCCCATTGACCATAGATTGACCAATGGGACCCCGTTGCCCATGGGTTGCCCAATGGGACCCCATTGCCCATGGGTTGCCCAATGGGACCCTATTGACCATGAATTGACCAATGGGGTCCCATTGACCATAGATTGACCAATGGGACCCCATTGCCCATGGGTTGACCAATGGGACCCCATTGACCATGGGTTGCCCAATGGGGCTCCATTGACCATGAATTGACCAATGGGGTCCCATTGACCATAGATTGACCAATGGGACCCCATTGCCCATGGGTTGACCAATGGGACCCCATTGACCATGGGTTGCCCAATGGGGCTCCATTGACCATGAATTGACCAATGGGGTCCCATTGACCATAGATTGACCAATGGGACCCCATTGCCCATGGGTTGCCCAATGGGACCCCATTGCCCATGGGTTGCCCACCCTATGGTGACCCCATTGCCCATGGGTTGCCCAATGGGACCCCATTGCCCATGGGTTGCCCCCCCTATGGTGACCCCATGGCTGCCCCCCGTTACCCCAGACCCACTTCATGCAATGTGGGGAGCACAACGTGGACTTCGAGGGCTTGGACTGCGACATCTTCGAGTCGCCCGTGCCCATGACCATGGCCCTGTCCGTGCTGGTCACCATTGAGATGTGCAACGCCCTCAACAGGTACCCGCAGCCCCAGGGGCACCGCCTGTGGGGCCAAGGGGGGCTGGGAATGGGGTTGGGGGGCTTGGAATGGGGCTATGGGGGGCTTGGAATGGGGCTATGGGGGCCTTAAATGGGGCTATGGGGGCCTTAAATGGGGCTATGGGGGCCTTAAATGGGGTCATAGGGAGCTTAAATGGGGCTATTGGGACCTCTAATGGGGTTATGGGGACCTTAAATGGGGCTATGGGGACCTTAAATGGGGCTATGAGGACCTCCAATGGGGCTATGGGGACCTTAAATGGGGCTATAGGGGCCTTAAATGGGGCTATGGGGACCTCCAATGGGGCAATGGGGGCCTTAAATGGGGCTATGGGGACCTTAAATGGGGCAATGGGGGCCTTAAATGGGGCAATGGGGGCCTTAAATGGGGCAATGGGGACTTCCAATGGGGTTATGGGGGCCTTAAATGGGGCAATGGGGACCTTAAATGGGGCTATGGGGACCTCCAATGGGGTTATGGGGACCTTAAATGGGGCTATGGGGACCTTAAATGGGGCTATGGGGACCTCCAGTGGGGCAATGGGGATCTTAAAGGGGCAATGGGGACCTTAAATGAGGTCATAGAGACCTTAAATGGGGCAATGGGGACCTTAAATGGGGCAATGGGGACCTCTAATGGGGTTATGGGGTCCTTAATGGGTCCATGGGGTCCATCAATGGGTCCATGGGGTTCATCAATGGGTGAATGGGGTCCATCAATGGGTCCATGGGGTCCATCAATGGGTCCATCAATGGGGTCCATCAATGGGTCCATCAATGGGGTCCATGGGGTCCATCAATGGGGTCCATCAATGGGGTCCATCAATGGGGTCCATGAATGGGTCCCTGGGGTCCGTCCCCACCTCCTGCCCCATTGCAGCCTCTCTGAGAACCAATCACTGGCCCGGATGCCGCCGTGGGTCAACATCTGGCTCCTGGGCTCCATTTGCCTCTCCATGTCCCTGCACTTCGTCATCCTCTACATCGACCCATTGCCCGTAAGGGGATGTGTGGGGCTGGGTGTGGGGCGGATCCCCATTGGTCAATGGCCGTTGGGTTGATCCCCATTGGTCAATGGCCGTTGGGTTGATCCCCATTGGTCAATGGCCGTTGGGTTGATCCCCATTGGTCAATGGCCGTTGGGTTGATCCCCATTGGGCAACGGCCGTTGGGTTGATCCCCATTGGTCAATGGCCGTTCGGTTGATCCCCATTGGTCAATGGCCGTTGGGTTGATCCCCATTGGTCAATGGCCGTTGGGTTGATCCCCATTGGTCAATGGCCGTTGGGTTGATCCCCATTGGTCAATGGGGATTGGGTGGTGGTCATTGGGTGATGTCCATTGGGGGATGCTCATTGGGTGTTGCCTGTTGGGTGATTCCAATTGGATGATTCCCATGGGGTCAACAGCCATTGGTTGATCCTTATTGGGTGGCAGCCATTGGGTGGTGGCCATTGGGTTAATCCTTATTGGGTGATGTCCATTGGCTCAATGGCCATTGGCTGATGCTCACTGGGTGGCAGCCATTGGATGATGCCCATTGGGTCAATGCCCATTGGGTGGCAGCCATTGGGTGATGCCCATTGGGTCAATCCCCACTGCTCAATCCCCATTGGTCGATCCCCCCCATCGGCTCGCTGCCCATTGGCTCGCTCCCCATTGCCTTTATCCCCCATGGGGTACCCATAGGGGGCCATGGGGCGGCCGTGGGGCTCAGGCCCAGCTCTCTGCCCCATAGATGATCTTCAAGCTGACCCCGCTGACGCTCACCCATTGGCTGATGGTGCTCAAGATCTCCCTGCCCGTCATCCTATTGGACGAGGCCCTCAAGTTCATCGCCAGGAACTACCTGGAGGGTGAGGAACCCATAGGGACCCATAGACCCCCATATCCCCCCCATAGACCCCCCATAGACCCCCATAGACCCCCATATCCCCCCATAGACCCCCATAGACCCCCCATAGACCCCCCATAGACCCCCATAGACCCCCATAGGTTCAAGGTGGGGGGGCACTTGTGGGGCGGGGCATGACCTATGACATCACTTGATGACGTCACCACATCTCCTCCAATCAGCACCTGATGTCCTGGACTCCCATAAGAAGAAGAAGTGACCCCAAAGCTGCTCCAAGCCCCACCCCCCCCTCCCCGTTTGCTATGGGGCAGCCCCATAGCGCTATGGGGCACCCTATTGCTATGGGGCACCCCCTAAGCTCTATGGGGCACCCAAGTGCTATGGGGCACCCAAGTGCTATGGGGCAGCCCCATAGAGCTATGGGGCACCCCACAGCATCGCTTATTTATTGCCATTAAAGGGAATACCCCACCCCCTCCCCCCGGCCTCCTGTGTCTTTAATGGAGAGGGCGGGTGGACGGAGCAATTTGTGGGGCAGCCAATCAGAGTGAAGGGGCGGAGCGAAGGGATGGGATGACCACGCCCCCTCCCGTAAGCCCACTCCCCCCCCCCCCCCATAGGGGCTCATTCGCCCCCAAAGTGGCAGCCATGGAGGTGAGTGGGAGCCTCCTGCCCCATAGATGTGGGTCCGGCCCCACCTGGGGGTCAATGGGGGGGGGGGAGGGGCAGTGGGAGACGTGGCCAATGGCGGGCGGACTTTGGACCCCCACAGACAGGGAAGTGGGGGTGGGGATGGGGAGCGCTATGGGGCTGGATGGGAGGTGGGGTGGGGGGGTCTATGGGGCTGGACCCATAGATAAAGGGGGTCTATGGGGCTGGGGGAGGTCTATGGGGCTGGATGTGGGGCTGGAAAGGGATCTATGGGGCTGGACCCATAGATTAAGGGGGCTGTATAGAGCTGGATGTGGGGCTGGAGGGGTCTACGGGGCTGAATGTGGGGCAGGAGAGGGGACTATGGGGCTGCATGGTGGGCTGGGGGGGATATATTGGACTGGACCCATAGATTAGGGGTTCTATGGGGGTGGGGGAGGTCTATGGGGCCGGATGTGGGGCTGGGGGGGGTCTGTGGGGGGGATCTGTGGGGCTGGACCCATAGCTTGGTGCCTCTCCAGTGCCCCACCCCCCCCCCCATAGAACCATAGAGAGAAGGGCTAGAAAGGCGCTGGAGGAATCCAGCACCATAGAGACTGGGTACGGAGAGGCCTGAATGAGCATAGAGAGGAGGGATGGACTCACTGGAGGTCCATAGCACCATCGAGCTGCGGCTAGAGGGGCCTAAGGGACCATAGAGACGGGGTTAGAGGGCACAGAGAGGCCCTGGAGGTCTGAAGCACCATAGAGACAGTGTTAGAGTGGCCTAAGGTACCACAGGGATGAGGCCTAGAGGCCCTGGATGACTATGGAGCCATGGAGATGGGGATGGAGTGGCCTAATGTACCATAGAGATGTGGGTAGAGGGGCACAGAGAGGCCTTGGAGGACTATGGCGCCATAGAGACGAGATTAGGGGGCGTAGAGAGGCCCTGGAGGACTACGGCACCATAGAGCTGCGGCTAGAAGGGCACAGAGAGGCCGTGGAGGACTCCGGAACCTCCCACAGTCCTCCAGCACCACCGAGCCGCGGGTAGAGCGCCCCCCGTCCTTGTCTCTCCCTCTCTCTCCAGCAGCCCCCTCCACTTCCGGTCCTACCCCCGCCCACCCTCCGCGTCCTGGCCCGCCATTGGCTGCAGGAGGACGCCACGCCCTTCGACCCTACATCCGGGTTCTCGGGCCGGGGCCTAGCTCGGGCCCAGCTCCTCTGTAAGAGCCCGGGGGTGCTGGCGGGGCTCCCGTTCGCCGAGGCCGTGTTCCGGGAGCTCGGCTGCGAGCTCCGGGCCCTGCTCCCGGAGGGCTCGACCCTACCCGGGGTCCGCACGGCGGTGGCGGAGCTGCAGGGCCCGGCTTGCGGCCTGCTCTACGGCGAGCGGGTGGCGCTCAACTGCCTAGGCCGCTGCAGCGGCGTCGCTACCATGGCAACGGCCGCTAAGGAAGTGGCCCGCCAGCAAGGCTGGCGCGGATTGGTCGCCGGCACCCGGAAGACCACGCCGGGCTTCCGGTTGGCTGAGAAGTACGCGCTGCTGGTGGGCGGGGCCGACGCGCACCGCTGGGGGCTCGACGGGCTCCTATTGGTCAAGGACAATCACGTGGCGCTGCACGGGGGGTCCATGGAGGAGGTGAGGGGGGGGGGCTATGGGGGCTCTATGGGGTTTCTGTGGGGGCTCTATGGGTCCCTATGGGTCTCAGTGGGTGTCTATGGGGTCCCTATGGGTCTCTAGGGGTCTTTGTGGGGTCTCTATGGTTGCTGTGGGGTCTGTATGGGGACTGTATGGGTCTCTGTGGGTCTCTATGGGGTCTCTATGGGGCTCTATGGTGTCCCTATGGGTCCCTATGTGTCTCTGTGAGTCCCTATGTGTCTCTATGGGGTCTCTATGGGTCCCTATGTGTCTCTATGGGTCCCTATGTGTCTCTATGGGGTCCCTATGGGTCTCTATTGAGTCTCTATGGGGTCTCTATGGGTCTCTGTGGGTCCCTATGGATCCCTATGGGTCTCTATGGGGTGTCTATGGGTCCCTATGGCCCCATTGTTCCCTATGGCCCCCAGCTCGTGGGCTCTGCCCGCGCCGCCGCCGGGTTCTGGCGCCGCGTCGAGGTCGAGGTCGGCTCCGAGGGCGCCGCCGTGGCCGCTGCTGCCGCCGGCGCTGACATCGTCCTCATGGACAACTTCAGCCCCCAGGTGAGCCCCGACCCACGCCTGGGGGGCACAGCGGCGCCTGTGGGGCCATTGAGGGGCTATGGGGCCATTGAGTGCTTATGGGTCCCATTGATCGCTTATGGGGCCCATTGATTGCTTATGGGGCCCATTGAGGGCCTATGGGGCCATTGAGTGGTTATGGGGCCATTGAGTGCTTATGGGTCCCATTGACCGCTTATGAGGCCCACTAGTTACTTATGGGGCCCATTAAGGGCCTATGGGGCCATTGAGTGCTTATGGGTCCCATTGATCACTTATGGGGCCATTGAGGGTCTATGGGGCACAGTGGGGGTCTATGGGGCCATTGAGGGCCTATGGGTCCCATTGATCACTTATGGGACCATTGAGAGTCTATGGGGCCATTGAGGGCCTATGGGGCACAGTGGGGGCCTATGGAGCATTGAGAGTCTATGAGGCACAGTGGGGGCCTATGGGGCACAGCGGGAGCTTATGGGGCATTGAGGGCCTATGGGGCCATTGAGGGTCTATGGGGCCATTGAGTGGGTATGGGTCCCATTGATCACTTATGGGGCCATTGAGTGTCTATGGGCCCCATAGCCCACTTACAGGTCCCATCACCCCCTGTGTTCCCCACTGCCCACTTCTGGGTCCCCATTGCAGGCCCTGCACAAGGCGGCGGCGGCCGTCAAGGCCTCCCGGCCCCACGTCGTGGTCGAGGCGAGCGGCGGCATCACCCTGAGCTCCCTGCCCCACTTCCTGGGGCCCCACATCGACGTCGTCTCCATGGGGTGCCTGACCCACAGCGCCCCCGCCCTCGACTTCGCCCTCAAGGTCCTGCCCCATAGCGAGCAATGAATGGGGATCAATGAACCCCACCCCCACCCGTGGGAACCGCCCCTAGGATCAATGAATGGGGGTCAATGGACCCCACCCCCACCCGTGGGACCCCCCCAATAGGTAATGAATGGGGGTCAATGGACCCCACCCCCCACCCGTGGGAGCCTACCCAAGGATCAATGAATGGGGATCAATGAAGCTCCCCCCCACCCGTGGGAACCCCCTATAGGTAATGAATGGGGGGCAATGGAGCTCCCCCCACCCGTGGGAACCGCCCTAAGGATGAATGAATGGGGGTCAATGGAGCATCCATGGGAACACCCCCCCATAAGTAATGAATGGGGGGCAATTGAGCCCAGCCCCCCATGGCCATTGGGTGCTGTTGGGGTCCCCCAATAAACAACACCCCCCCCTTGCCTTTATGGGACTGGTGATGGGTGGGGGGCAATGGGGTTGGGAGTGTCCCAATGGGGGCCTAATGGGGATCTATGGGGTTTGGGGGGTCCCAATGGGGGGCAGTGGGGTTTGGGGGGGTCCCAATGGGAGGCAATGGGGTTTTGCGGGGTCTCAATGGGGGCCTAATGGGGATCAATGGGGTTTTGGGGGTCCCAATGGGGGGCAATGGGTATGTAGCACACATGGTCACGCCTGTATCCCATGTTCACATATGTATCCCATATCCACACGTGTAACAGGCATGTTCACACACGGAGCATGTATGTAACACACATGATCACGCCTGCAACCCATGATCAGGCATGTAGCCCATATTGACACATGCTACACACGTGAACGCATGTAACACGCATGCTAACACGTGCATGTAACACGCATGTAACACGTGTTCATGCCCATAGCCCACATTCACGCATATATCCCATAATCACGTATGTGACACATGTTGATGCGCGCATCACATATGTAACACACGTATGTAACATGTATGGGACGCATGTAAAACACCTGTAACATGTATGTGGCACGCATGTAACATGCACCACATGTGACATGTAACACGTGACACGCGTGTAACACGCATGTAGGAGGCGTGTGGGGCACACTCAGGGCAGGGGGGCCTCGGGGGCGGCGCCGGGCGCGTCCTGGGGCTTCATCACATCGGGGAGCTCGGGGGGGCTGGAGAAGGCGTCGATGCGCAGCGGCTCAAAGGGCTCCTCTGCCCCCAAAACACCCAAAATGAGCCCAAAATCACCCCAAATCAGCCCAAAACCACCCCAAAAGAGCCAAAATCACCCAAAAGAACCCCAAATCAGCCCCAAATCACCCAAAATTAGCCCAAAATGATCCAAAATCACCCTAAAATCATCCCAAATGAGCCAAAACCATCCAAATCACCCCAAATCAACCAAATGAGCCCCAAATCACCTCAAATGATCGAAAATCACCCAAAATGAGCCAAAATCACCCCAGAATCACCCCAAATGAGCCCAAAACCACCCAAAATGAACCCAGAATCACCCAAACTGAGCCCAAAATCACCCAGAATGAGTCCAATATCACCCAAAATGAGCCAAAACCACCCAGAATGCACCCAAAATGAGCCAAAATCACCCAAAATGAGCCAAAATCCCCCAAAATGAGCCCAAAACACCCAAAATGAACCAAAAATGAGCCTAAATCACTCAGAATGAGCCCAAATCACCCAAAATGAGGCCAAAGTGGGTCTGGGGAGGGGCACAAAGAGCAATGAGGAGAGGGCTATGGGGCTCTATAGTCTCTATGTGTCTCTATGGGGTTTCTATGGGTCCCTATGTGTCCCTATGGGTCTCTATGGGTCCCTATGGGTCCCACCTGCCGTCCTCAGCGCCAGCCCCACGGTAGCCGGGGCCTGTGGCCGCGCTGTCTGGCTCGTGAACCCGCAGTCCCCCAGGGTGCGCGAGTCCTCCAGGACCTGGTCCTCCTGCAGGGGGCGCACGGCACCCGCACCATAGAGACGGCACAGACAGAACCCCCCCACTGACCGCCATTCACTCCCATAGAGCACTATAGCGCCGCCTAGTGGCCACCCCGTGCCGCGCTCCCCAGCGCCATTGACACTCAATGGAAGCGGCTCCCCATAGACCCCCCATAGACCCCCATAGAGCCCCATAGACCCCCCATAGACCCCCCATAGACCCCCATAGACCCCCCATAGACCCCCATAGACCCCATAGACCCCCCATAGACCCCAATAGACCCAATAGACCCCAATAGACCCAATAGACCCCAATAGACCCCAATAGACCCCAATAGACCCAATAGACCCCCATAGACCCCCATAGACCCCCCATAGACCCCCATAGACCCCCATAGACCCCCCAGAGACCCCAATAGACCCCACATAGACCCCCATAGACCCACATAGACCACCCAGAGACCCCAATAGACCCCACATAGACCCCCCATAGACCCACATAGACCCCCCACAGACCCCCATAAACCCCCATAGACCCCCATAGACCCCCCATAGACCCCCATAGACCCCCATACCCCCCATAGACCCCCATAGACCCCCATAGACCCCCACAGACCCCCATAAACCCCCCATAGACCCCCATAGACCCCCCATAGACCCCCATAGACCCCCATAGACCCCCATAGACCCCCCATAGACCCCCCATAGACCCCCATAGACCCCCATAGACCCCCCATAGACCCCCCATAGACCCCCATAGACCCCCATAGACCCCCCATAGACCCCCATAGACCCCCCATAGACCCCCATAGACCCCCCATAGACCCCCCATAGACCCCCCATAGACCCCCATAGACCCCCCATAGACCCCCCATAGACCCCCATAGACCCCCCATAGACCCCCATAGACCCCCCATATCCTCCCCATATCCCCCCATAGACACCTTATAGAGGCGCTGCTCCTCGGGGGGCCTCTTGAGGATCCCGTGCACGATGCGCTTGAGCTCCAGCACCGTGCTCGACTCCTTGGCCTCGGTGAAGATGGTGGTCTTGTGGCGCCGGATCATGAGGAACACGTCCTGGGGGGGATATGGGGCACTATGGGGCGGCTATGGGGTCTATGGGGCTCTATGGGTTGTCTATAGGGCTCTATTGGTGTCTATAGGTCTCTATGGGGTGTCTATAGGGCTCTATGGGGCTCTATTGGTGTCTATGGGGGCGCAGGCAGGGGTTTGCAGCACGGCCTGCAGGGGGCGGTAAAGGGCCAAAGGGGGCGGGGCCAGCCGAGGACACGCCCCCACCCCTCTCTGGGGTTAATGGGGTTCTATGGGGTCTATGGGTCTGTGGGGGTCTATGGGGCTCTATGGGGGGCTTATGGGGGGGTCTATGGGGATCTATGGGGGGGTCTATGGGGTCTCTATGGGGCTCTATGTGTGCCCATTGATGTCAATGGGAAGCCGGAGGGGGGCGTGGCCTCGGCGGAGGGGGCGTGGCCTCCCCTCAGTTGCCGGAGGCCGGGGTGGGGGGGGGGGGCCGGGCCTGTCCCCGTTCCCTCCCGTTCCACCGCCGTTCGCCGCCGTTCCAACGCGTTCCTCCCGTTCCAACGGGGCCCCGATGGCTCCGTTCCCCTCCCCCCACTCCCGTTTCCTCCCCTCCCCCTCCCGTTTTTACCCATCTCCCCCCAGTTTCCCACCATGGCTCCGGTGCCGTCTCCGCCGCTGGGTCCGCCACGGTCCCAGAATGCACCGCGGGCAGAGGGGAGGGGAGGGGGGGAGAGGAGGAGGACGAGGAGGGGCGGGGCGTAGGGAGCGCGCATGCGCGGTGCTGCCCTGGAAGGGGGGATCATGGCTCCTCCCTGGTGCGTAATCGGCGCCGCCATCTTGGTCGGGGTGAGGCCGCCATGTTGGGAAGGGCGGCGCCATGTTGGGGGGGGCAGAGAGTGACTATGGGGACTATGGGGACCCATAGACCTATAGCCTGCCCTATAGGCAACCCCATAGCCTCTATACCTGCCTCGTAGACCCATAGCCTGCCCCACAGAGCTATACCTGCCCCATAACACCCCTCATAGACCCATAGCCTGCCCCATAGACCCATAACCTGCCCTATAGACTCACAGCCTGCCCCATAGACACATAACCTGCCCCATATCCTGCCCCATAGCCTCTATACTTGCCCCATAACCTCTATACATCCCCCATAGACCCATACCCTCCCCCATAGCCTCTATACCTGCCCCACAGCGTGCCCCATAGCCCCTGTACCTGCCCCACATCCTGCCCCCCCCCCCTCCGCCCCCCCATTTCCTGCCCCACGGCGGCGGCCGCAGCTTCCGGGGGGCCCTGGGAAGGGTTCGGGGCTGGAGGCGCCTGCAGGAGCTGTGGGGTGATCAATGGGGTCTATGCGGGGCTATGGGGGTCTACGGGGGTCTATGGGGGGTCTATGGGGGTCTATGGGGGTCTATGGGGGGTCTATGGGGGTCTATGGGGGGCCTATGGGGGCTATGGGGGGTCTATGGAGGTCTATGGGGTGATCAATGGGGGCTATGGGGGGCTATGGGGTGATCAATGGGGGGCTATGGGGGGCTATGGGGTGATGTATGGGGTGATCTATGGGGGTCTATGGGGTTCTATGGGGCGATCTATGGAGCTGATCTATGGGCCTGATCTATGAGGCTCTATGGGGATGATCTATGGGGCTCTAAGGGGTCTATGGGGCGATCTAGGGGGGTCTATGGGGGTCTATGGGGCTGCTCTATGGGGCAGGGAGGTGCTTATAGGGCCCATGGACGCTGGGCCCCTCCAACTTATGGGGCAGACGCTGCAGTTATGGGGCAGGGCCCATTGCCAACCGCAGCGCATCACGTGTGGGGCGGGTGTGAAGCGGGCCCCACACATCCGGCCCCCCCCCAACCCCCGCCCAGGCCCCATGGAGGCTCCGTGGCCCCATAGCGGCCTCTGGGGCCTGGTCCTGCTGCCCCCCACGCTGCTGCTGGCGGCCATTTGTGCCCGGTGCCGCCGGCCCCACGGTGAGGGGGTGCTTATGGGGCTGGGGGGGGATCTATGGGGCTGGGGGGGTCAATAGGGCTGGGGGGTGTCTATGGGGCTGGGGGGATCTATGGGGCTGCGGGGATCTATGGGGTGGGGGATCTATGGGGCTGGGGGGATCTATGGGGCTGGGATATGGGGATCTATGGGGCTGGGATATAGGGATCTATGGGGCTGGGGGGATCTATGGGGCTGGGGGGGTTCTATGGGGCTGGGGGGATCTATGGGGCTGGGGGGCACTTATGGGGCTGGGGGGATCTATGGGGCTGGGGGGCACTTATGGGGCTGGGGGGATCTATGGGGCTGGGGGGGGTCTATGGGGCTGGGGGGTCACTCAAGGGTCACGCTCAGCCCCGCCCCTCCCCCCAGGTCACGGCGCCCCCCTGGACCAGGACAAGTGAGTGGGGGAGGGGCGGGCGGCGGGGCCGCTGCGGGGGCGTGGCTCTGACCCCCCCCTTCCCCCTCCCCCCCTCCAGGCCCCGCCCCCCCGGCACCTTCGTGGTTCTCCCCCCCCAGCGATGTGAGTGACGTCATCGAGCGGGACCCATAGCCCCTCCCCATAGCGCTGCCCCATAGCGCTGCCCCATAGCGCTGTTCTACCCCATAGCCGTGCCCCATAGCGTGTCTCTGCCCCACATCTTCCCCCAGGTCCTCCCCCACAGCCGCCCCAATGGGTGCCCCAGACTGAGACCATCCCGTGGGTGACGTGTGGGGCAATGGGCGGATATGGGGCAGGGGGGAAACTATGGGTCTCTATGGGTCTCTATGGGTCTCTATGGGGTCTCTATGGGTCTCTATGGGGTCTCTATGGGTGTCTATGGGGTCTCTATGGGTCTCTATGGGGTCTCTATGGGTGTCTATGGGTCTCTATGGGGTCTCTATGGGTCTCTATGGGGTCTCTATGGGTGTCTATGGATGGGTCTCTATGGGTCTCTATGGGTCTCTATGGGGTGTCTATGGCTCTCTATGGGTCTCTATGGGGTCTCTATGGGTCTCTATGGGTCTCTATGGGGTGTCTATGGGGCTCTATGGGTCTCTATGGGGTCTCTATGGGTTCTCTATGGGTCTCTATGGGTCTCTATGGGTCCCTATGGGTCTCTATGGGGTGTCTATGGGTCTCTATGGGGTCTCTATGGGGTCGCTATGGGTCTCTATGGGTCTCTATGGGTCTCTGTGGGGTCTCTATGGGTCTCTATGGGTCTCTATGGGTCTCTATGGGGCAGGATTGGGTCCATGTAGCACCTCCCCCCCGCCCCCGCAGCTCCCCCCTCCCCCCCCCTCCCCGGGCCCCTCCCCCCGCCGAGGAGCACGATGAGGATTACACCAACGACCCCTACGTCACCGGCTACGTGTGAGTCACGTGACGCCCCCCCTCCCCCCCATCACATGACCGCGGCTGACCCCCCCCCCCTCCTCCTCCTCCCGCAGTGACGTCATCCCGGACGAGGCGAGCGACCGCACAGGTGGGCGGCGACCACGTGACCGGAACCCCCCCCCCCCCCACGTGACCCTCATTGATTCCCATTCCCCCCCCCTTGGAGCTCATTGAACCCCATTGACCCCATGTGACCTTTTCCCGCCAACAGCGCCCCCTGGTGGCGACTACGAGAATGTCCCGGATGGAGCCCAGAGCCCCTTTGGTGAGACCCATAGAGACGCATAGAGATACATAGAGACCCCATAGAGACCCATAGGGACCCCATAGAGCCCCATAGAGACCCATAGAGACACATAGAGACCCATAGAGACCCCATAGAGACCCATAGAGACACATAGAGACCCCATAGAGACCCCATAGAGACCCATAGGGACCCCATAGAGACCCATAGAGACCCCATAGAGATCCATAGAGCCCCATAGAAACCCCATAGAGCCCCATAGAGACCCCATAGAGCCCCATAGAGACCCATAGAGACACATAGAGACCCATAGAGACCCCATAGAGACCCATAGAGACACATAGAGACCCATAGAGACCCCACATCCCCTTCTGTTCTCTCTACCTCACAGGCGGCAGCCTCGAGTACATCAACCTCCCCGCAGGCGGTGGTGAGTGACCCCACGTGACCCACCCCCCCACGTGACCGACCCCCGCCCACGTGACCTCTCTGACCCCGCCCCCTTCTCCCTCCCCCCTCCACAGCGAGCGAGAGCGAGGACAATGGAGGAGACTACGAGAACTTCTAGGTCACGTGACCCCATGGCCCCTCCCCCTTAGCCCCACCCCTCCCCATAGCCCCTCCCCTTCCCCATAGCCCCACCCCCTCTGACCCCCATCTCCCCACAGGTCTCTGGAGCTGCCCCCCCAACGGGACCCCCTCTTTATTTATTGTGACCCCCAAGAGAGCTGACGGCACCTGAGAGACCCCATAGAGACCCATAGGGACCCATAGAGACCTGTACAGACCCATAGAGATCGCCTGGACCCATAGATCCCCCCCTAGTACTGATGTATCCCCATCATGGGACCCATAGATCCCCTCCCCTGCCCCATTGAATAAAGCTGTGCCCCAATTCAGGTGCTTTGGGTGGCACTTATGGGGCAGCTGTGGGCTATGGGGCAGTGCTGTGGGGCAACGCTATGGGGTAATGCTATGGGGCTATGCTATGGGGCAATGCTATGGGGCCGCTCTATCCGTCCCACGTGACTCTTGGGGGGGTGTGAGTGTGGCCCCGCCCCCTTCCCGCAGCAGCCAATCAGCGCCGGCCCCGCAAACACGCACGTGGTTTCCCGCATTGCCGTTTATTTCCCGCCAATTCCAACACGCGGTCGGTGGGGGCGGGGCTCCGAGAGGGCTCGGAGGCCTCCCATTGGCTATTGAAGGTCCCCATTGCCCCTTTAAGATCCCCATTGCCCATTTAAGGACCCCATTGAGTTCTTGTGGCCCCCCCCTTGCCCGTTTAAGGCCCCTATGGTCCCATTGAAGGACAACATTGCCCCTTTAAGGACCCCCATAGCCCCATTCGATGTCCCCATTGCCCCTTTAAGACCCCCATAGCCCCATTTACCCCATCCAATGCCTTTTTAAGCCCCCATTGCCCCTTTACGGCCCCCCCATAGCCCCATTTACCCCCTATTACTCCTTTAAGAGCCCCATTCCCCCTTTAAGGCCCCCATTACCCCCCCATTGCCCCTTTAAGGCCCCCCCATATCCCCATTTACCCCCTATTACCACTTTAAGGCCCCCCTTGCCCCTTTAAGGCCCCCCTCAATAGCCCCATTTAGCCCCTATTACCCCTTTAAGGCCGATGACGCCAGCGGCCCCTCCCGCGCTGCGAGCGCTCCCATTGGCCGCGTCGGCGGAGGGGGCGTGTCCGATGAGGGGGCGGATCCAGGTGACGTAAGCGCTGACGCGGGTGTAGACGCCGGGGCGGTTGGGGACGCCGCAGCCCTGCCCCCAACTCACGACCCCCGCCAGGGCCCAGCGACCCCCCCCGGTACGGCAGGAAAGGGGACCCCCGGAGTCACCCTGGGGGGGGAGGGGAGGGTGAGAGTGGGGGTGGGGGGGAGGGGTGTGGAGTGTATGGGGGGATATGGGGGTCTATGGGGGGGATATGGGGGTCTATGGGGGGGATATGGGGGTCTATGGGAGGGATATGGGGGGTCTATGGGGGGTCTATGGGGGTCTATGGGGGGTCTATGGGGGTCTATGGGGGTCTATGGGGGGTCTATGGGGGTCTATGGGGTTCTATGGGGGGTCTATGGGGGTCTATGGGGGTCTATGGGGGGTCTATGGGGGTCTATGGGGGGTCTATGGGGGTCTATGGGGGGTCTATGGGGGTCTATGGGGGTCTATGGGGGGTCTATGGGGGTCTATGGGGGTCTATGGGGTCTATGGGTGTCTATGGGTGTCTATGGGGCTCTATGGGTGTCTATGGGGTCTATGGGGCTCTATGGGGTCCCACCACCTTCATATCCCCCCCCCTCAGAATACCAAGCACACACCATGCGGCGCGGAGGAGCCAGCGGCAAGGACCGGCCCATCGAGCCGTAGAGGCGCCTGCACGTGCTCAGCGCCAGCACCGGCACCTCCAGCTCCTGCAGGCGCCGGGGGGCAGCTGCGGGGGCAATGGGGGGCAATGGGGGTCAATGGGATCAATGGAAGTCAATGGGGGTGCAATGGGGGGGGCAATGGGGGGATCCCCCACTGACCCCATTGACTCCCATTGCCCTCATTAACCCCCATTACCCCCCATTGATCCCCTATTGACCCCCATTGACCCCCATTGACCCCATTGGCCCCATTAAACCCATTGCCCCCATTCCCCCCATTGACCCCCATTGACCCCCATTGATCCCATTGACCTCCATTGCCCCATTGACCCCCATTCCACATTGACCCCCATTCCCCCATTGCCCCATTGACCCCCATTGCCCCATTGACTCCCATTGCCCCCATTGACCCCCATTGCCCCCATTAACCCCCATTACCCCCATTGACCCCCATTCCCCCCACTGATCCCCATTGATCCCCATTCTCCCATTGCCCCCCATTCCCCATTGCCTCCCATTCCCCCATTGACCCCCATTCCCCCATTGATCCCCATTGCCCCCCATTCCCCCCATTGCCCCCATTGTCCCCCATTACCCCCATCCCCCCCATTGCCCCCCATCCCCCCATTCCATTGATCCCCATTCCCCCATTGATCCCCATTAACCCCATTAACCCCCATTCTCCCATTACCCCCATTAACCCCCATCCCCCCCATCCCATCCCCCCCCCTCACCTCCTTCCCCCGCCTCCCCCCAGCCAGTGGCCACGCAGCGGGCCCCGGGGGGGGGGAAGGCGGCGCCGGGGGGGGGCAGGCACACGGGGAGCAGGCGGGGCCCCAGGGGCACGGCCCGGGCCAAGCGCGCCAGAGCCAGGTCCCCGCTCGTGGCCTCCCCCCGGTACCGGGGGTGCGGCAGCACCTGGGCCACGGGCACCAGCAGCCCCTGGGAGGGGCCGGGCCGGGGCGGCAGCCAATGGGAGCCCAGGAGGACGGAGTAGAGGCGGGGGTCACGGCTCCTGCAGGGGGGACAATGGGGGGCAATGGGGGGAAATGGGGGGCAATGGGGGTCAATGGGAGTCAATGGGGGTCAATGGGACTCAATGGGACTCAATGGAAGTCAATGGGACTCAATGGGACTCAATGGGAGTCAATGGGACTCAATGGGACTCAATGGGACTCAATGGACTCAATGGGACTCAATGGACTCAATGGGACTCAATGGACTCAATGGGACTCAATGGACTCAATGGGACTCAATGGGACTCAATGGACTCAATGGGACTCAATGGACTCAATGGACTCAATGGGACTCAATGGGACTCAATGGGACTCAATGGACTCAATGGGACTCAATGGACTCAATGGACTCAATGGGACTCAATGGACTCAATGGGACTCAATGGACTCAATGGGACTCAATGGACTCAATGGACTCAATGGGACTCAATGGACTCAATGGGACTCAATGGACTCAATGGACTCAATGGGACTCAATGGACTCAATGGGACTCAATGGACTCAATGGGACTCAATGGACTCAATGGACTCAATGGGACTCAATGGGACTCAATGGACTCAATGGACTCAATGGACTCAATGGACTCAATGGACTCAATGGACTCAATGGGACTCAATGGGACTCAATGGACTCAATGGGACTCAATGGACTCAATGGACTCAATGGGACTCAATGGACTCAATGGGACTCAATGGACTCAATGGGACTCAATGGACTCAATGGACTCAATGGGACTCAATGGACTCAATGGGACTCAATGGACTCAATGGACTCAATGGGACTCAATGGACTCAATGGGACTCAATGGACTCAATGGGACTCAATGGACTCAATGGACTCAATGGGACTCAATGGGACTCAATGGACTCAATGGACTCAATGGAGTCAATGGACTCAATGGACTCAATGGACTCAATGGGACTCAATGGGACTCAATGGACTCAATGGGACTCAATGGACTCAATGGACTCAATGGGCTCAATGGACTCAATGGACTCAATGGACTCAATGGGCTCAATGGACTCAATGGACTCAATGGGACTCAATGGACTCAATTGGACTCAATGGACTCAATGGATTCAATGAACTCAATGGGACAATAATGGGTATATATGGGGGACTATGGGGGAAATGGGGATCAGTGTGCGTCATGGGGTCAATGGGGGCCAATGGGCATCAGTGGGGATCAATGGGGTGGAGAACAATGGGGTTCAAAGGGGACCAAAGGCTTCCAATGGGGGAATCAGTGGGGCTGTATGTGGAATAAATGGGTCTCTATGGTGCTCTGTGGGGTCCCTATGGGTCTCTATGGGGTCTCTATGGGTCCCTATGGGTCTCTATGGGGCACTCACTCCTGGAAGCAATGCGCCGCCGTCAGCACCCACTCGGGGGTCACGAGGGAGGCGCCGCACACGTGACCCCCCCGGCGAAGCAACGCCCCCGTCCAAGGCCACGCCCCCGGCGCCGCGTCCTCGCCCCCCACGTTGCGAACCTCCGGGCCGCCAGGGGGCGCCACAGGGCGGCCGCAGCCTAGGGAGGGGCACGCGTAGGGATGCATGGGGATCCATAGGGATCCATAGGGATCCATAGGGATCCATAGGGATGCATAGGGACACATAGGGACACATAGGGATCCATAGGGATCCATAGGGATATACAGGGATATAGGCAATGGGATTTGGGGTATTATGGGATATGGGGGGGGTGTCTCACCAAGCTGCTCCCAGTTCACTGTGGGATGGTGGGAACAAAGGGAGATGTCACATGATCCATAGATCCCCCCCCATAGCCGCCCATTGCCCCATAAAGCCCCATTGCCCCATAGAGCCCCATGGCCCCATAGACTCCCATAGACCCCATAGCCACATTACCCTGTAGACAGCCATCGCCCCATAGCCCCCCATTGCCCCATAGACTCCCATTGTCCCATAGCCTCCCATAACCCCCCATTGCCCCATAGCCCCCCATTGCCCCATAGCCCCCATAGCCACATTACCCTGTAGACAGCCATTCCCCCATAGCCCCCCATAGCCCCATTGCCCCATTTCCCCATAGCCCCCCATTGCCCCATAGACCCCCATAGCCCCCCATCACCCCATAGACCCCATTGCCCCATAGACTCCCATAGCCCCATAGCCCCCCATTGCACCATAGCCCCCATTGTCCCATAGACTCCCATTGCCCCATAGCCCCCATAGCCCCATAGCTCTCACCTGAGTCCTCTCTGCCGTGGGTCCGGTCGCAGCCGTGGCTCCGCTGTGGGGCCAGCAGCAGCAGCAGCAGCAGCAGCGGGAGGGGGGGGGCGCTGGGGGGCGCCATGGCCGCGGCTCTGCCCCACAAGTGGCCCCTGCCCCACAGGCTCCGGCTCTGACCCCGGCTCTGGCCCCACAGCGCTGTGGGGCGGGGCGGGAGCGGCCTGACGGGTTCTCCCACGCGCTATGGGGCGGGATGTGGGGCAGGAGGGGGGGGTGCGGGGGAGGAGGGTGTGGGGCGGGGGTGGGGCTGGGTATGGGGCTGGGATGGGGTTGGTTATGGGGCTGGTTATGGGGTTGGTTATGGGGCAGGTTATGGGGCAGGCAATGAGTCAGGTTATGGGGCAGGTATATGGCAGGTTATGGGCCTGGTTATGGGACAGGCAATGGGGTGTGGGGCGATGTGGGGCAGGGACCCACAGAGGAGCCAGAGGCAGCACTTGGGGTGTCCAAACAGGTTTATTGGGGGCTGCGGTGCTTGCGCCCCATAGCTGTGGGTCTGGGCCCCATAGATGTGGGTCAGAATCCTTCGCTGTGAGTCAGTGACCCCATTATGTGGGTCAGAGGCCCAGAGGTGTGGGTCTGGGCCCCATAGATGTGGGTCAGGATCCTCCACGGTGGGTCCAGGACCCGCGTTCTGAGTGCGGGACCTGCAGATGTGGGCCTGGGCCCCATAGATGTGGGGCAGGACCCTCCACTGGGGGCCAATGACCCCTTTATGTGGGTCAGAGCCCCATAGATGTGGGTCGGGATCCTCCATTGCGGGGCAACAAATGATACCCTTATGTGGGTCTGGGCCCCATAGATGCAGGTGGGTGCCCCATAGATGCGGGCCTCTGCCCCATAGATGCGGGTCTGTGCCCCATAGATGCGGGTCTCTGCCCCATAGATGGGGGTCAGGACAGCACATGGGCCACAGGCACCTTGGTGGGGCGCCCCCCCCGTGGCACCACGAGGTCATCGGGGTCCTCGAGGTCCTCGTCGTCGGGGTCGAGACCTATGGGGGGGACAAGGGGGTTACTGTGGGTCCCTATGGGTCTCTATGGGTCTCTATGGGGTCCCTATGGGTCTCTATGGGTCCCTATGGGTCTCTATGGGTCCCTATGGGGTGTCTATGGGTCCCTATGTATCCCTATGGGTCCCCGCTTACCCCGCGCCAGGAGCCGCGCGCGCCGGCGGTCACGTGGGAAGGCGGAGGCGGTGCCCAGGAAGGCCCCGCCCCCGAGCGCGGCCACGAAGGGGCAGAGCAGGAGCGCGAGCCCCAGCGCGCGCGCGGCGGCCAGGGAAGAAGGGGCGGGGCCGGCGGAGGAACGCAGCCAATCGCTGAGCTGGAATTGCAGAGGGCGGGGTCAGAGCCCCGGCCCATTCATCCCCCTGCCGGCTCATTGGTGCTCATTGATGCCCATTGATCCCCATTAATCCCATTGAGTCCCATTGATCCCCATAGACCCCTCATAGACTCCCATAGAGCACTATGGCGCCCCCTAGCGGCCACCCCGTGCCGCGCTCCCCAGCACCATTGACACTCAATGGAAGCGGCTCCCCATAGACCCCCATAGACCCCCCATAGACCCCCATAGACCCCCATAGACCCCCATAGACCCCCATAGACCCCCATAGACCCCCATAGACCCCCCATAGACCCCCATAGACCCCCCATAGACCCCCCATAGACCCCCATAGACCCCCCATAGACCCCCCATAGACCCCCCATAGACCCCCATAGACCCCCCATAGACCCCCATAGACCCCCATACCCCCCCCACAAGCACGGGGCTCCCCGCGTCCCCCAGCAGGTGGGAGGTGATGATCTGCAGCGCCTCGGCCGTGGAGCGACGCGTGGGAGCCACCACGTGCTGGGGGGGGAGAGGTCACGTGATCATACATGGACACACCCCCCTAACCCCCCACCCCATAACCATACACAGGGACCCATCTATGGGGGGGCTATGGGGGTCTATGGGGGGATATGGGGGTCTATGGGGTTGATATGGGGGGCTATGCATGTGTATGGGGGACTATGGGGGGGATATGGGGATATGGGGGCTATGGGGCATGGGGGGATATGGGGTCTATGGGGCTATGGGGATATGGGGCTATGGTAGGGGTCTATGGGGGGGATATGGGGGTCTATGGGGTCTACGGGGGTTCTATGGGGGGTCTATGGTGGGATATGGGGGTCTATGGGAGGGATATGGGATTCTATGGAGGGTTTATGGGGTTCCTATGGGGGGTTTGTGGGGGGCTATGGGGCAGGACCCACCATGAGGATCTCAGCCACGATGGCCCAGTTGAGGCTGAGCAGCGACTCCCCCAGGAAGATGAAGATCTGTGGGGAGAGACGCATAAAGACCCCATAGAGACCCATAGAGACCCCATAGAGACCCATAGAGACCCCATAGAGACCCACAGACCCCCCATAGACCCCCATAGACCCCCATAGCCCCCCCATATACCCCCATAGACTCCCATAGAGCACTATGGCGCCCCCTAGCGGCCACCCCGTGCCGCGCTCCCCAGCACCATTGACACTCAATGGAAGCGGCTCCCCATAGACCCCCATAGACCCCCATAGACCCCCCATAGACCCCCCATAGACCCCCATAAACCCCCATAGACCCCCATATCCCCCCATAGACACTCACATAGGCCGCCGTGGGGCTGGGCCGGGCGGCCATGATGGCGAGCAGCAGGCAGGGGGCAGACCCCAGCAGCCCCATAGCGCAGAGCAGGGGCTCGGCCCGGGGGCAATGGGGGCTCCAGCGGCGAGAAAGCTCCGCCCCCAGCCCCACCCCCAGCACCCCCGAGGCCACCGTCAGCGCCCCGAAGAGCATGCTGGGAAACGGGGAGGTGGGGGTCAATGGGGGTAATGGGGGCAATGGGGGTGATGGGGTAATGGGGGTGATGGGGGTGATGGCGGTAATGGGGTTAATGGGGTAATGGGGGTGATGGGGGTAATGGGGTGATGGGGGTAATGGGGTGATGGGGGTGATGGGGGTAATGGGGGTAACGGGCATCAATGGTTATCAATGGGGTCAATGGGTATGAATGGGATCAATGGGTCTCAATGGTCTCAATGGGTCTCAATGTGTCTCAATGGGGGATGAATGGGTCCCAATGGGGTATGAATGGGTCTCAATGGGGGATGAATGGGTCCCAATGGGGTACGAATGGGTCCCAATGGGGTACAAATGGGTCACAATAGGGTATGAATGGGTCTCAATGGGGGAGGAATGGGTCCCAATGGGGTACGAATGGTTCCCAATGGGTTCCCAATGGTTCTCAATGGGGTCTCCATGGTTCCCAATGGTTCCCAACGGGGTATGAATGGGTCTCAATGGGGTCTCAATGGGTTCCCAATGGGGTCTCCATGGTTCCCAATGGTTCCCAATGGGGTATGAATGGGTCTCAATGGGGTCTCAATGGGTTCCCAATGGGGTCTCAATGGTTCCCAATGGGTTATGAATGGTTCCCAATGGGTTCCCAATGGGTTATGAATGGGGTCTCAATGGTTCCCAATGGTTCTCAATGGGTTCCCAATGGGTTATGAATGGGGTCTCAATGGTTCCCAATGGGTTATGAATGGGGGATCAATGGGTTCCCAATGGGTTATGACTGGGGGGGGTGTCCCCACCTCTCGGTGCCCTCGCAGCGCTGGCCCCGGGGGCAGGGCTCCCCCCTACCCGTGGCCTCCCGGCAGCGGCTCAGGAAGGCGGGGGCCCAGAGCGCCAGCGCCCCCGACACGAAGGCCACGGCCGTGAAGCCCAGCGTGGAGAGCACCAGGGAGCGGCTGCGGGGACACGACACAGAGGGGGACCCCTATAGTACCCTATAGTACCCTATAGCATCACTAAGGCATCCCTATGGAACCCCTATAGCATCCCTATGGTACCCTGTGGAGAGCACCAGGGAGCGGCTGCGGGGACACCGAGACAGAGGGGGAGCACTATGGGACCGTATAGCATCCCTATGGCATCCCTATAGTACCCTATAGCATCACTATGGTACCCTGTGGAGAGCACCAGGGAGCGGCTGCGGGGACACCGAGACAGAGGGGGAGCACTATGGGACCGTATAGCATCCCTATGGCATCCCTATAGTACCCTATAGCATCACTATGGTACCCTGTGGAGAGCACCAGGGAGCGGCTGCGGGGCAACGACACAGAGGGGGACCCCTATAGTACCCTATAGTACCCTATGGTACCCTATGGGATCCTATGGTACCCTATAGCATCACTATGGCATCCCTATAGTACCCTATAGCATCCCTATGGCATCCCTATAGTACCCTATAGCATCACTATGGTACCCGATGGGATCCTATGGTACCCTATAGTACCCTATAGCATCACTATGGTACCCGATGGGATCCTATGGTACCCTATAGTACCCTATAGCATCACTATGGAACCCCTATAGCATCCCTATGGTACCCTGTGGAGAGCACCAGGGAGCAGCTGCGGGGCAATGACACAGAGGGGGACCCCTATGGTACCCTATAGCATCACTATGGCATCCCTATGGGATCCTATGGGACCCTATAGCATCCCTATGGTACCCTATGGTATCCCTATAGCATCCCTATGGTACCCTATAGCATCCCTATGGCATCCCTATGGTATCCCTATAGCATCCCTATGGTATCCCTATAGTATCCCTATGGTATCCCTATAGCATCCCTATTGTACCCACAGCACCCTATGGCACCCTAAGGTACCATAGGGTACCCACAGACCCCCCCACAGGCACCCATAGACATACATAAAACACCCATTGCCCCCCATGTCCCCATTGCCCCATAGCCCCCATTACCCGCATTGGCCCCATTACCCCCATTGACCCCCATTGCCCCCATTACCCCCATTGCCCCCATTACCCCCATAGCCCCCATTACCCCCATTACCCCCATCACCCCCATAGCCCCCATTGCCCCCCATTACCCCCATCACCCCCATAGCCCCCATTGCCCCCCATTACCCCATTGCCCCCCATGCAGTCCCTATGCCCCCCCCTGCAGTCACTTGGTGAGCAGGTCCCGGAGGTCGCTGCCCCACGCGCTGTGGGGCAGGGGGGTGCCAGGGGGGGTCTCGGTGCCCCCCCGGGGGGGGTCGGTCACCAGGGTCACCAACAGAGCCAGCGCCACCAGGCCCAGCACGGGGGTCACCTGCAGGGGGCAATGGGGGGCAATGGGGATCAATGGGGGGAAATGGGGATCAATGGGGATCAATGGGGATCAATGGGGATCAGTGGGGATCAATGGGGATCAATGGGGATCAATGGGGATCAGTGGGGATCAATGGGGATCAATGGGGATCAGTGGAGAACACTGGGGGTCAATGGGGATCAATGGGTGTGAACGCGATCAATAGGCATCAAAGGAGATCAATGGGTATCAATGGCACCAATGGGTATGAATGGGATCAATGGGCGTGAATGGCATCAATGGGTATGAATGGGATCAATGGGTATGAATGGGATCAATGGGCGTGAATGGCATCAATGGGCATCAATGGGTATGAATGGGATCAATGGGCGTGAATGGCATCAATGGGCATCAATGGGTATGAATGGGATCAATGGGCGTGAATGGCATCAATGGGCATCAATGGGTATGAATGGGATCAATGGGCGTGAATGGCATCAATGGGTATGAATGGGATCAATGGGCATCAATGGAGATCAATGGGCATCAATGGAGATGAATGGGGGTCAATGGGGGTCAGGGAGGGGGTGTGGTCTCACCCGCAGGGCCCAGCGCCAATCAGTGGCCACTTCCTTGACCTTCGCCCCCATGATGTAACCCAGGCCACTGTGGGGGGGATTAGGGGTCACACACCCCATAGAGCCCCATAGACCCCCATAGAGCCTCACACACCCCCATAGAGCTGCACAGAACCCCCATAGACCCCCACGGACCCCCCATAGACACTCATAGACCACCATAGACCCCCCACAGACGCCCCCATAGACCCCCCATACACCATAGACCACCCACAGCCCATAGACCCCCATAGACCCCCATAGACCCCCCATAGACCCACACCCCCATAACCCGACCCCCATAGACCCATAGACCCCCATAACCATCACACACCCATAGACCCCCATAGACCCCCATAGACCCCCATAGACCCCCATACCCCCCATAGACCATAGACCCCCATAGACCCCCCATAGACCCCCCATAGCCCCCCATAGACCCCCCATCCATAGACCCCCCATAGACCCCCATAGACCCCCATAGACTCCCCATACCCCCCCATTACCCCCCCTTACCTGCCCAAGGGCACAGCCAGGTAGAACCCCCCCAGAGCGCGGCTGCGGGGGGCCCCGGGGGGGCTCAGGTCGGCCACGAGGGTGGGGGCCACGGTGGAGAAGGCGGCTTCACCAGCACCGACCACTGCCCGGGCCACCAGCAGGGCCCAGAACCCCTGCGGCAATGGGGGGCTATGGGGGGCTATGGGGGGCTATGGGGGGTCTATGGGGCTATGGGGGGTCTATGGGGCTATGGGGGTCTATGGGGGGTCTATGGGGGTCTATGGGGGTCTATGGGGGTCTATGGGGGTCTATGGGGGTCTATGGGGGGTCTATGGGGGTCTATGGGGGGCTATGGGGGTCTATGGGGGTCTATGGGGGTCTATGGGGGTCTATGGGGGTCTATGGGGGCTATGGGGGTCTATGGGGGTCTATGGGGGTCTATGGGGGTCTATGGGGGTCTATGGGGCTATGGGGTCTATGGGGTCTATGGGGGTCTATGGGGGGTCTATGGGGGTCTATGGGGGTCTATGGGGTCTATGGGGGTCTATGGGGGTCTATGGGGGTCTATGGGGGTCTATGGGGGTCTATGGGGGTCTATGGGGGTCTATGGGGGGGCTATGGGGGTCTATGGGGGTATGGGGTCTATGGGGGGTTGATGGGGGTCTATGGGGGGCTATGGGGGTCTATGGGGGTCTATGGGGGTCTATGGGGGTCTATGGGGGTCTATGGGGGTCTATGGGGGTCTATGGGGGGCTATGGGGGTCTATGGGGGGATATGGGGGTCTATGGGGGTCTATGGGGGTCTATGGGGGTCTATGGGGGTCTATGGGGGTCTATGGGGGGTCTATGGGGGTCTATGGGGGTCTATGGGGGTCTATGGAGGGGTCTATGGGGGTCTATGGGGGTCTATGGGGGGTATGGGGGGTATGGGGGTCTATGGGGGTCTATGGGGGTCTATGGGGGTCTATGGGGGTCTATGGGGGTCTATGGGGAGCCGCTTCCATTGAGTGTCAATGGTGCTGGGGAGCGCGGCACGGGGTGGCCGCTAGGGGGCGCCATAGTGCTCTATGGGAGGCTATGGGTATCAATGGACATCAATGGGGTCTATGGGCTCAATGGGCGTCAATGGGGATCAATGGGAATCAATGAGGATCAATGGGCATCAATGAGAGTCAATGGGGTCTATGGGGGCTCTATGGAGTAGCGGGACAAGGGGGATGCCCTATAGCATCCATGGGGCACCCCATAGCACCCATAGGTGCCCCATGAGCTCCCCAGGACCCACCCCCAAGCATCCCCCTTACTCCCCATAGACACCTTCAGCCCCACATAGACCCCCATAGCCTCCCCATAACCACCCCTAGACCCCCCATAGCACCCCATAGACCCCCCATAGCCGCCCATAGACCCTCCATAGCACCCCATAGCTGCCCCATAGCGCCCCATAGCCTCTCACCTGGGGGGGCACGAAGCTCCCGGCCATGGTTGCAGCCGCCCATAGGGCAAGGCCGAGGCTGAGGAGCCGCTTGCGGCTCCTGCGATCCCCCCAATAGCCACAGAGGGGCGCCAGCACCATGTAACTGCCAATGAACACTGTGGGGCAGCCCCATAAGTGTGGGGCAGCCGCATAAGTGTGGGGCAGACCCCTGTGTGTGGGTCAGCCACCTATGTATGTGGCAGCCCCATAGCGGTGGCTCAGGCCCCTATGTAGAGGGCAGCCGCACGGCTATGGGGCAGCCCCACACGTGTGGGGCAGGGGGGGTCGCACCTGTCTGCAGGAGCCCGGAGCTGCTGTCGCTGATGCTGAAGAAATCCTCAACGTCGGGGAGGACGGCTGGGGTGGGGGGAGATGTGGGGCTGCCCCATAGCACCCATAGGGACCCATAGGGACCCATAGCACCCATAGGGACCCATAGAGACCCATAGCACCCATAGGGACCCATAGCACCCATAGGGACCCATAGCAGCCATAGGGACCCATAGCACCCATAGGAACTCATAGGGACCCATAGCACACATAGGGCCCCACAGCACCCTATATCACCCCATAGCGCCCCATAGATCCCCCCCCCACGTACCAGCCACAGTGAAGCGGTCCATGTAGTTGAGCAGGTTGATGTAACAGAGGATGGCGATGCTGAGGAGGGCGCCGGGGGGCGCTGTGGGGCTGGGGCTGTCGCTATGGGGCGCTATGGGGCAGGGGCCGTCGCTATGGGGCGCGGTGGGGCAGGACGGGCTCCCCCCATCGCCGGTGTCGTCGGCGCGAAGCAGCTCTGGCCCCGACGCCATGGGGCAGGCCTGGGGGGGGGAAAAATGGGAGGGGGGTTATGGGGCTGCCCCATAGAGAGCGGTGCCATAGAGATACAAAGACCCCTATAGAACACTATAGACCCCTATAGACCCCTATAGAAACCCCATAGACCCCCACAGACCCCCCATAGACACCCATAGACCCCCCATAGACCCCCATAGAGCCCCATAGCCCCCACATAGACACCCGATAGCGCCCCATAGCTCCCCGATCACGTGATCTCCCCTTTCCCACCCCCATAGACCCCCCGCTTACCCGCCCGCGAGTCGCTGCCGGCGCGGCGTCACGTGATCGCGCTCACGTGACCGCACCCCCCCTTCATTGCCCCTCCCCTTCCGGCCCTGGGGAGGAACCAATCCGGAAGCGCCTTGGGAAGGGAAACGCGGGGTTTCACCGTGACGTCACCGGTGACGTTGGCTCGTGCCCCCCCATCGTGACGTCACACGGAGGGGTAACCCCCCGAGGGAGCGTGGTGACGTCATCGCCCCGCGTAGGTGTCGTGTGCCCCCCCCACCCGTGGTTGCTCGCACGCCATTGGCTGGGATTGGCCCCGCCCACTCGGTGCTGATTGGTTGGAGGGGGGGGACTGGGAGCGGCGCCAAGAGACACAATGGGGTCAATGGGATCCGTAGTGGGCTCAATGGGATCCATTGGGATCAATGGGATCCGTACTGGGATCAATGGGATCCATTGGGATCCATGGGATCCATACTGGGATCAATGGGATCTGTACTGGGATCAATGGAATCCGTACTGGGGTCAATGGGATCCGTATTGGGGTCAATGGGATCCGTACTGGGATCAATAGGATCTGTACTGGGAGCCATTGGGGTCAATGGGATCTGTACTGGGAGCCACTGGGAGCAATGGGATCCGTACTGGGATCAATGGGATCTGTACTGGGAGCAATGGGAGCCATACTGGGCTCAATGGGATCCATTGGGAGCAATGGGATCCATACTGGGATCAGTGGGATCCATACGGGGAGCAATGGGATCCATACTGGGCGCAATGGGATCCATTGGGCTCAATGGGATCCACACCGGGCTCAATGGGATCCATACTGGGCTCAATGGGATCCACACTGGGCTCAATGGGATCCATACTGGGAGCCATTGGCAGCAATGGGATCCCTGGGCTCTCCCCTCCCCCCTCCCTCCCCTCCCCCCCAGCAGCTGCAGGGGTGGGGGAGGGGCAGCAGGTGCGGGGTCCCCCCCTCCCCCCCCCCTTCCCGTTTCTATTCCCGGTTATTCCCCAGAAAGGGCACGAGGAGCCTCAAGGCGGGGGGAGGGGCGAGGAAAGGGGCGGGGCCAGACCCCTCCCCCCCCCCATGGGGGGGCAATAAAACCCCCCGCGATTGGACGGAGCCCACAGCGACCCCCGCCCTGCCTGCGAGGAGACAATGGTGAGAGCCTGAGCCCCATAGAAACCCCATAGAAACCCATAGAGACCCCATAGAAACCCCATAGAGCCCCATAGAAACCCATAGAGACCCCATAGAAACCCCATAGAGACCCCATAGAAACCCCATAGAGCCCCATAGAAACCCCATAGAGCCCCATAGAAACCCCATAGAAACCTCATAGACCCCCATAGAAACCCCATAGACCCATAGGGACCCCCCAAACCCCCCTGGACACCAGCCCCCCCCGCCCGCGACCCCAATGACCCTCAGAACCCCCCCATTAAAGACCTATAGAGACTCCCATAGACCCCCTATAGGGACCCATGCGGACCTATAGAGACCATAAGTACCCCATAGAGACCCATAGAGACACATAGAGACCCCATAGAGACCCATGGAGACCCCATAGAGACCCCTTTACACCCACTAAATGCCCCTTAGAACCCCATAGAGAACCATAGGGCCTCATAGTGCCAAGTAGAGCCCCATAGGGACCCCTTGGACCCTCCAAACCCCCCAATAGACACCCACAGAGCCCCCATAGACACCCATAGCTCCCCGTTATTACTCCATAGACCCCCCATAGCCCCATAGACTCCCCTAGACTCCCCATAGATACCCCCTAGACCCCCACAGACCCCCTCTAGACCCCCATAGACACCCATAGCACCCCCATAGACCCCCATATCCCCCCCATAGACCCCCATAGCCACCCCATAGAGCCCCATAAGGACCCATAGCTCCCCATAGGCCCCCAAGAAGGCGAAGCGCCGTGCGGCCGAGGGCAGCTCCAACGTCTTCTCCATGTTCGACCAGACCCAGATCCAGGAGTTCAAGGAGGTGGGGACCCCCCTTTGACCACGCCCCCTTCCCCTTAAGCTCCGCCCCCTTCCCCTCCTTAAGCTCCGCCCCTTCCTCATTCATCCCCTGCCCTTCATTCACCCCCGCCCTCCCCTTCCCCTTCCCATTCACCTCAATGAGGCCCCCTTGTGGCCACGCCCCCTGCGCTCTGATTGGTCCCTGTGCTCCCACTGGCCACGCCCCCCTCCCCTTCCCATTCACCCTCTTGTGGCCACACCCCCTGCGCTCTGATTGGTCCCCGCGCTCCCACTGCCCACGCCCCCCTCCCTTTCCCATTCACCTCAATGAGGCCCCCTTGTGGCCTCGTGTTCTCGTACCCCCCCCCGTGTTCTGATTGGTCCCCGCGCTCTCATTTGGCTCCGCCCCCTTTTCCCAGGCCTTCACGGTCATTGACCAGAACAGGGATGGGATCATTGATAAGGACGACCTGAGGGAGACCTTTGCCGCCATGGGTAGGGGCGGGGCTTAATGTGAAGGGGAGGGGCTTAAATGGAAGGGGAGGGGCTTAAACGGAAGGAGAGGGGCTTCGGGAATGGGCTGCAATGGGGATGAATGGGAAGGGGAGAGGATTCAATGGATGCCTATGGGAAAAGGGAGGGGCTTGGAGATGGGCGGGGCTTAGAGGTGAAGGGGGTGTGGCTTCATTACAATGGGGAGTATAGGGAAGGGAGGGGTGGTCTATGGGGTTTGGGCTTTGTCTATGGGGCATGGGCATGGTCTATGGGGCATGGGCATGGTCTATGCGGCATGGGCATGGTCTATGGGGCACGGGCATGGTCTATGGGGCAGGGGGCGTGGTCTGCTGAAGCCACGCCCCCCCAGGCCGTATGAACGTGAAGAACGAGGAGCTGGACTCAATGATCAAGGAGGCTTCGGGCCCCATCAACTTCACCGTGTTCCTGACCATGTTCGGGGAGAAGCTCAAGGGTGAGCCCCATAGCGACCCATAGCGACCCATAGGGACCCATAGGGACCCATTGGGACCATAGAGACCCATAGGGACCCCATTGGGACCCATTGACCCAGTGGTGCCGTCCAATCAGGTGCGGACCCCGAGGATGTCATCATGGGAGCCTTCAAGGTGCTGGACCCCGATGGGAAGGGAACCATCAAGAAGACCTTGTGAGACATGGGGGGGGTCTGGGGTTATTATGGGATATGGGAGGGGGGTGTGTGACCATCTCTAAACCCCGCCCCTTTTGCCCCCCCCTTCCCCAGCTTGGAGGAGCTTCTGACCACCCAGTGTGACCGGTTCACCCCTGAGGAGGTGAGGGGGGCCCCTATTGGGGGTCTATAATGGTCTATAGGGGGGTCTATAATGGTCTATAGGGGGACTATGGGGGCCCATATAGGGGGTCTATAATGGTCTATAGGGGGTCTATAATGGTCTATAAAGGGTCTATAATGGTCTATAGGGGGGTTTATGGGGGGGTATATAATGGTCTATAGGGGGTCTCTAATGGCCTATGGGGGGGGTCTATAATGGCCTATGGGGGGTCTCTAATGGTCTATGGGGCTCAGATCCGGAACATGTGGGCCGCCTTCCCCCCCGACGTGGCCGGCAACGTGGACTACAAGAACATCTGCTACATCATCACCCATGGGGAGGACAAGGAGGGCGAGTGAGGGGGGCCCCCCATTGCCTTCAATGGAACACCCCATTAAACCCCATTGTCTTCAATGGAACATCCCATTAAACCCCATTGCCTTCAATGGAACATCCCATTAAACCCCATTGTCTTCAATGGAACATCCCATCGCCCCCCCCATTGGCTCAATGGAACATCCCATTAAACCCCATTGTCTTCAATGGAACATCCCATCGCCCCCCCCATTGGCTCAATGGACGCTCCCCATTGGCTCAATGGACGCTCCCACGCCCCCCCATTGGACCATACCAAGCCCGGGGAAGGGGGGGGGGAATGCCTTCAAACCCAAAGCCCCCCCCATTGGTTCCTATGGGACCCCCCCATTGATAAAGGGGGGAGATGGGGGGGGCATCAAGGGATGGGGAGGAATTGGCCCAAAATGGGGGGAACTTAACCCAAAATGGGAGGAAAGGGCCCCAAATGGAGAGAAATGACCCCAAACGGGAGGAAATGATGCAAAATGTGTAGATTTAGACCCGAAATAGGAGTTGACCCAAAATGGGTGGATTTTGACCCAAAATGGGACCTTACGGTGGTTGTAATGTGTCCATTGGTCATCTATGGGTCCATTGGTCATCTATGGGTCCATTGGTTGTCTATGGGTCCATTGGCCATCTATGGGTCCATTGGTTGTCTATGGGTCCATTGGCCATCTATGGGTCCATTGGCCGCCTATGGGTCCATTGTCCATCTATGGGTCCATTGTCCATCTATGGGTCCATTGTCCATCTATGGGTCCATTGTCCACCTATGGGGCAGGCCATAGGGCCTCTATGGGGCAGTGCAGGCCCTGGGGCTCCGCTGGGGCCTCAGTGGAGCAGGAGCTGGGCGCAGAGCGGGCAGTAGAGCTTCCCATCGCGCTGCTGTGGGGCAGCCCCATGGAAGGGCTGGAGGCAGAAGGAGCAGCTCCCCTGGGAATGGGGCTGGGAATGGGGCCGGGGATGGCGCTGGCACAGGGGGCGCCCGTCGGCCTCGAAGAAGGAGCCTCCGGTGATGGGAGAGGAGCATTCCTGAGGGGGAAGAAGGGGAGAAGGGGGATATGGGGGGTGTATGGGGTGTATGGGGTATAGGGTATATGGGATATATGGGGTATATGGGATATATGGGGTATATGGGGTATATGGGATATGGGATATATGGGGTATGGAATATGGGACATATGGGGTCTATGGGATATATAGGATATAGGGGTATGGGATCTATGGGATCTATGGGACACACGGGATATGGACTCTATGGGCTCTATGGGATCAATGGGATCAATGGGTGTCAATGGGCGTCAATGGGCTCAATGGGTGTCAATGGGTGTCAATGGGATCAATGGGTATGAATGGGGTCAATGGGCATCAATGGGATCAATGGGTATCAATGGGCTCAATGGGTATCAATGGGATCAATGGGTGTCAATGGGTATCAATTGGTGTCAGTGGGTGTCAATGGGTGTCAATGGACTCAATGGGTATCAATGGGATCAATGGGCATCAATGGAATCAATGGGTGTCAATGGGTATCAATCAGCGTCAGTGGGTATCAATGGGCGTCAATGGGCTCAATGGGTATCAATGGGTATCTTTGGGATCAATGGGTCTCTATGTGTCCCTATGGGTCCCTATGGGTCTCTATGGGTATCAATGGGATCAATGTGTCCCTATGGGTCCCTATGGGTCTCTATGGGTCTCTATGGGTCCCTATGGGTCCCTATGGGTGTCACTGGGCCCTCACCGCGCACACGAAGCACTGGGGGTGCCAGAGCCCCTGCAGGGCCGCGATGAACCCGGCCTGGATGGGGCGGGCGCAGCCCCGGCAGCGGCCCCCAAAGAGGAGCCCAAAGTCCCGGGGGCAGTAGGGGAGGAGGTCCCGGGCCAGGAACCCTATGGGGGGTAATGGGGTACATGAGGGGTACATGGGGGGTATATGGGGGGTATGGGGTGTATGGGGTATATGGGGTATATGGGGGGTATGGGGTATATGGGGGGTATGGGGGATATGGGGTATATGGGGGGTATGGGGTATATGGGGGGTATGGGGTATATGGGGTGTATGGGGTATATGGGGGGTGTGGAGGGTATGGGGTATATGGGGTATATGGGGTATATGGGGTGTATGGGGGATATGGGGTGTATGGGGTATATGGGGGGTATGGGGTATATGGGGTATATGGGGTGTATGGGGTATATGGGGTGTATGGGGTATATGGGGTGTATGGGGTATATGGGGTGTATGGGGTATATGGGGTATATGGGGTATATGGGGTGTATGGGGTGTATGGGGTATATGGGGTATATGGGGTATATGGGGTATATGGGATATGGGGTCTATGGGGTCTCTGACCCTCCTCCCCCAGCACCCCCCCGCAATGGGTGCAGCAGAAGTGCTCCGGGTGCCAGGTCTTGTCCAGCGCCGTCACCACTTGCTGCAGGGGAGGGGGGGCTCCATCCCATAATAGCACGCAAAGACCCCCCCCATCACAACCACTGCCCCCCCATTACACCCCATTGACCCCCATTAAACATTGGCCTCATTTCCCCCCTTGACTCCCATTGTCCCCATTTTCCCCATTCCCCCCATTTCCCCCCATTCCCCCCCATTCCCCTCCATTCCCCCCCATTCCCCCCATTCCCCCCATCCCCCCCCATTCCCCCCCATAACCCCCATTTCCCCCCATTCCCCCCCATTCCCCCCATTCCCCCCCATACCCCCCATTCCCCCCATTCCCCCCCATTCCCCCCCATCCCCCCCCCCCGACCACGTGACCCCTCGGCGCACGTGCAGGATGGGGCGGCCGCAGGCGGCGCAGGGGGGGGCGCACAGCCGCCCGTAGTCCTCCGGGCAGTAGGGGGCGCCATCGCGCTCGAAGAAGGCGCTCCCTTCCAGCGACTGCCCGCAGGCGGCGCACCGGAAGTGACGCGGGTGCCACCAGCGCCCCAGCGCCAGCAGCGCCTGAAGTGGGTGGGCGGTGCCAATGCAGGGGGGGAGCCAATGGGAGCCACCTTTGGCTCCCATTGGCTCCCATTGATTCGCATTTAAATCCATTGATACCCATTGACCCCCATTGACCCCATTGATCCCCATTGACCCCATTGACCCCAATGACCCCAATCCTCCCCATTGCCACCCATTGACCCCATTGCCCGCATTGACACCCATTGCCCCCCATTGCCCCCATGGATCCCCATTGACCCCATTGCCCCATTGACCCCTATTGCCCCCCATTGACACCCATTGAACCCATTGACATGCATTGATCCCCATTGCCCCCCATTGCCCCCATTCCCCCCATTGCCCCCATTGCCCCCATTCCCCCCCATTGACCCCCATTCCCCCCTCACCTTCCCAGCAATGGGCTTCATGCACCCCCCACAGGGGCCCCTGCCCCCCATGGGCACCCCCTTCCTGTCCAGGTCCCTCTGCAGCAGCCTCAGGAGCGAGTCCAGGTCCTGCCCCACACTTGGGGGGCGCTGTGGGGTGGGGGGGGAGGGGTCAGGTACTTATGGGGCTGAAGGGGCCCCATAGGGCTCAATGGGGCCCCCTTGGGCTCACCTGGGGCTGGAGGTGGAAGCGGGCCAGGGAGGCCATGAGGGCGTCCAGCTCCTGGGTGGCTGCGGATGGGGGGCCCTTGGGGCTGCAATGGGGGGGAATGGGGTTTGGGGCAAAAAACGACAGTTTTGGGTCAGAAAACCCCAATTTGGGGGTCAAAACTCCCTTTTTTGGGCAAAAACTCCGGGTTTGGGTCAAAAAACACCATTTTTGGGTCAAACCCTGCCATTTTTGGCTCAGAAAATGGCAATTTTGGGGTCAAAACTCCCCATTTTTGGTAAACCCCCCCTTTTTGGTGTGAAAAGGCCAATTTTTGGGTTGAAAATCCCCAGTTTTGGGTAAACTCCCCATTTTGGGGATGAAAAGATCCATTTTTGGATCAAAAGTCCCCATTTTTTGGGTAACCACCCAATTTTTGGTGTCAAAAACCCATTTTTGGGTCAAAAATCCCCATTTTTGGTAAAACCCCCCCTTTGGGGGTGAAAAGACCCATTTTGGGGTAAAAAAATCCCCATTTTTGGTCAGCCCCCCAAATTGGGGATGAAAAGACCTATTTTGGGGTCAACCCCCCCCCATTTTGGGGTCAAAAAGACCCCATTTTTGGGGTGAAAAGCCGCGGGTTTGGGGTCCTGCTCACCCAGCCGGGGCTGCTCCATCCTCAATGGCGTCCAATGGGGGCTGCGAGGGGGGGGCCTGGGCCGAGAGCTCCTCTGCAGGGGGGGTTTGGGGTGAATAAAGGGGATTTTGGGTCCCTGCTGGCGTTTTGGGGCTGTTTGAGGGGATTTGGGGCTGATGGGGGGGGATCTGCGTCCGTTTGGGGCCATTTTGGGGGTGATTTGGGGTGATTTGGGGTGATTTTGGAGTGATTCTGGGTGATTTGTGGTGATTTTGTGATTTGGGGTGATTCTGGGTGATTTGGGGATGATTTTGGGGTGCTTTGGGGTGATTCAGTGTGATTTTGGGGTGCTTTGGGGTGATTCAGTGTGATTTTGGGGTGTTTTGGGTGATTTTGGGGTGATTTGGGGTGTTTTGGGGTGATTTCGGGCTGTTTCGGGTACCTGCGATGCCTCCGTGCGTCGCATTCAGGTCCCGCAGGAGCCGATCGAGCTCCCCGAGGCCGGGGGGGGGCGGCCGCGGCTTCTGCACCGTGCTGGGGGGGGGTGTTGGAACAGCCCAGCCTGAGCCCCCCCCCCAATAGACCGCAATGGTAGCGCCCATGGCCCATTGAGTCTCATTGAGTCCATTGAGTCCATTGACTCCCATTGATCCCCATTGATCCCCATTGCCCCCATACCTGTAGAGCTGCTCTGTGTCACCCCCAGGCACCTGGACACCAGCACATAGAGGGTTAATGGGGTGTAATGGGGTCTCCATAACCCATATACCCCATACCCCATATACCCCATACCCCATATATCCAATATCCCATACCCCATATACCCCATACCCCATATACCCCATATATCCCACACCCCATATATCCAATACCCCATATATCCCATACCCCATATCCCATACCCCATATACCCCATATCCCATTCCCATTCCCACCTTTCCACATGGAGCAGGCTTCAGGCTCGATGCTGTTGTCTCCAGGTCAGCCAAGAGGGCATCTGGGGCGGTATCCAGAGACCCATTCCCTATGGGGCCAGCCCCTATCCCATTCCCTATGGATCCATTCCCTATGGGGCCAGCCTCTATTCCATTCCCTATGGGTCCCACAGCCCCTTCCCCATGGATCCATTCCCTATGGGGCCAGCCCCTATTCCATTCCCTATGGGTCCCACAGCCCCTTCCCTATGGGTCCATTCCCTATGGATCCATTCCCTATGGGGCCAGCCTCTATTCCATTCCCTATGGGTCCCACAGCCCCTTCCCTATGGATCCATTCCCTATGGGGCCAGCCCCTACCCCATTCCCTATGGGTCCCACAGCCCCATCCCTATGGGTCCTACCCAGATCCTCCATGGTCGGAGCCCTTTCCCCCCCCCTCACCCCCCCTTATGACGTCATCACACACGGGGCCCCCTCCATGCCCTTATATGGAAGTGTCCGGAATGTTGGGATGGGGCCAGGCAGAGGCCGGAAGTGGTTGGGAATGGGGGGGGGAGGGGGGGGTGTGGGTCTGGGCCCTATGGAATCAATGGGGCCCAAGGCCGGGCACAGCAGGGTCGGTTTCCAGCTCCTTTATTGGGATCCCAAAACCCCAGGAAATGAACCCAAAACCAAGTGCCCCCCCCCATAGGGCTCCTATAGGGCCTCAATGGGGTTTACGGGGGGGGGGGACCCCATAGATCCTTATGGGCCCCCCAAGTTCCTTCGTGTTGTCCATAGACAGCAATGGGGCCTCCATTGACCCCCATGGGGACCCATCCATAGGTCCCCATCCATAGGTCCCATCCATAGGGCGACATCCATAGGTCCCCATCCATAGGGCAACATCCATAGGTCCCCATCCATAGGGCAACATCCATAGGGCGAAATCCATAGCTCCCATCCATAGGGCGACATCCATAGGTCCCCATCCATAGGGCGACATCCATAGGGCGAAATCCATAGGTCCCATCCATAGGGCGAAATCCATAGGTCCCCATCTATAGGTCCCCATCCATAGGTCCCATCCATAGGTCCCCATCTATAAGTCCCCATCCATAGGTCCCATTCCCCACATTCAGAGCAGGCCTTCAGAGGTGGAGGCCCCATAGGGGGCCCTATAGGGAACCGCCAAGTCATGCTCTGGGTCCTTATGGGGCTCCCTTAGGTCCTTATGGGGGTCCCTATGTGAGTCCTTATGGGGTTCCTTTAGGTCCTTAAGAGGCTTCCTATGGGGCTCCTTATGGGGCTCTGTTAGTTCCCTATGGGGTTCCCTTAAGTCCCTATGGGGCTCCATTAGCTCTCTATGGGTCTCGCTATGGGTCTCTCTATGGGGCTCCCCATAGACCTCCCCCTCCTCCTCCTCCATCCCCTCCCCCTCCTCCTCCTCCTCCATCTCCCTCAGCTCCTCCCCCGTGACCCCGAACCCCTCCTCCAGATCCACCCCTCCCCCCAGCACCAGGGGGTCCCCTCCCCACCCCTCCCCCACCCACACGTCATCCCCCTCCCCCTCCCCCCCACGTGGGTCAATCACTCCCATGAGCGCTTGCGCCAACCCCCGCGGGCACCGAGTCCTGGCGGCGGCTGCGCGCAGGCGCCGGGCCACGCACTGTGGCGCCCCCTGCAGGAGCATGCGCGCCGCCCTCCGCGCCAGCGCCGCCGCCCCCCAGCGCTCCGCCAGCACCCAGAGCGCCACTGGGCATGCGCGGACCCCCGCCGAGACCTCCGCCTCCAGGGGGCGCTGTTGGCGGAGCAGGAAGCGCCTCCCCAGCGCTAGAGCGGCTCCGGCTACGCCCGGCGGAAGAGGCGTGGCCCAAAGGGAGCAGTTCCGGCGGCGGCAGCCGTGCAGGAAGTGGAGCAGTAAGAGGAGGGGAGGGAGCGGAGCGCAGCCCAGCGTTACCGCCCCCTGGCGGGCCTCCAGGAACGGTCCTCCCAACATGGCGCCCAGCACCGGGGAGGAGGCCGAGAGGGCGGAGCGAGAGGCGGGGAGGGGGAGGGGCGAGGGGGGGGAGGGGATCACGAGGAGGTCGTGGGGGGATTGGGAGTAAGGGCAGGGGGGGAGGGGGGAGGGGGAGGGAGCCAATGGGGAGGAGGTGGGGGAGGGGGAGGGAGCCAATGGGGAGGAGGTGGGAGTCAATGGGGAGGCGTTGGCAGCCAATGGAGATGCACTGGAAGAGGTAGGAGATCCACTGGGAGCCAATAGGGATGCATTAGCAGCCAACGGGGATGCATTGGAACCCAACTGGGATGCATTGGGAGCCAATGGAGATCCATTGGAACCCAACTGGGATGCATTGGGAGCCAATGGAAATCCATTGGGAGCCAATAGGGATGCATCAGGAGTCAATGGAGATGCACTGGAACCCAACTGGGATGCATTGGGAGCCAATAGGGATGCATTGGAAGCCAATGGGGATGCATTGGAACCCAACTGGGATGCATTGGAACCCAACTGGGATGCACTGGAACCCAATAAGGATGCATTGGAAGAGGTGGGAGATGCATTTTGAGCCAATGGAGATCCATTGGGAGCCAACGGGGATGCATCAGGAGTCAATGGAGATGCATTGGGAGCCAATGGGGATGCACTGGAACCCAACTGGGATGCACTGGAAGAGGTGGGGGATGGGATGGAGCTTGGGAATGGGGTGGGAAATGGATGGGAACCCAATGGGGAGGGGATGGGAGAGGAAGGGGCGGGGCTCTGGGCCCCTCCCCCGGCACCGTGGGGCAGAGGGGACAGGAGGGGGGGGAGGAGGCTCCCGAAGCCCCACGGCTCCATGGGGCTGGGCTCAGTGGGGACCTGTGGGGGAGAGAGGAGAGGGGTCAATGGGGGGCTATGGGGTACCTATGGGGTACCTGGGTGTCTATAGAGGTTTATGGGCATCTTTAGGGTACCCATAGGGTGTCTATAGGTCATCTATAGGGTGCCTACAGGGTGCCTATAGGGTTCCCATAGAGTGTCTATAGGGTGCCTAGAGAGTATCTATAGGGTGTCTATAAGGTACCCATAGGTCTCTTTACCCCCCCAGCCCCATACCTCATCCTTGCTGCCTTGCTCCAGAGCATCCTCCGCTGCTGTGTCCATAGCGTGTCCTAGCGTGTCCTTAGCGTGTTCTGCCGTGTCCATAGGATACATTGCCATGTCCTTATTGTGTTCTGCTGTGTCCATCGGATCCAGTGCCATGTCCTTAGCATGTCCAGGCGTGTTCTTAGTGTGTCCGGGCGTGTCCTTGGCGTGTGCCCGCAGCAGGGCGATGGCGTCGGCCGCGTAGAGCAGGAAGCCGGGGGGGGGCTCATAGGGGGAGCCGGGGCCCTGGGCCACGGCCGAGAGCAGCAGGGCCACGGCCCCTCCCCCCCACAGCAGCTCATGGGCGGGGGATGAGGGCCTGCACACGCCAAGGACACGGCAGCGTCATGGTAAGGTCATGGGAAGGGGGGGGAGGCAGGTGGGGGGGATGGGGGTCTATGGAGTGTCTATGAGGTATCTCTAGAGCCCTATGGGGGTCTCTATGGGGTGTCTATGGTCTCTATGGATCTCTATGTGTCTCTATGGGGTCTCTGTGGGGTCTCTATGGGGTGTTGATGTGTTGCTATGGGTCTCTATGGTGTATCAATGGGTCCCTGTGTGTCTCTATGGGTCTCTATGGTCTCTATATGTCTCTATGTGTCCCTGTGTGTCTCTATGTATCTCTATGGGTCGCTATGTATCTCTATGGTGTCTCAATGTATCTCTGTGTATCTCTATGTGTCTCAATGTATCTCTATGTGTCCCTATGTATCTCTATGTATCTCTATGTGTCTCTATGTGTCTCTATGGGTCGGTACTCACCCGGCTATGAGCGGCAGTGCAGTGGCGCACGCCAGCCGCGCGGGGGCGCTCCCGCAGCGCATCAGGTGCGTCAGGAGCCCCACGCCGAAGGGGGCGGCGGCCACGGCAGCCACGGTGCGGAGCAGAGCCTCGCCTGCAGGCACCCAGAGAGCCCATAGAGCCCTATAGCACCCATAGGGACCCATAGCACCCATATAACCCTTATATCCCCCCCGTATAACTTATATACCCCCATATCCCCCTATAGGCCCCCAAACCACCCCTATCTCCCCCCATATCCCCCTTTACCCCCCCATAGATCCCGCTATCCCCCCATATCTCCCCCACATAGCCCCCTAATACCCCCATCCCCCCCTTATATCCCCCCACAGACCCCCAATATTCCCCCATACGCCCCCATATCTCCCCCCCATACCCCCCTATATCCTCCCCATAGAACCCAATACCCCCTCTATGCCCTCCATAGAACCCTATTATGTCCCCCCATATCTCCCTACCATAGATCTCCATATCCCCCCATAGACCCCCATCTCTCCCCCGTAGACCCCCCATAGACCCCCATATTCCCCCCCATAGACCCCCATATTCCCCCCATAGACCCCCCAGAGACCCCCATATCCCCCACATAGACCCCCACAGACCCCCCACAGCCCCCCCCATGTCCTCACCGAGCTCCCTGCGGGCTCTCCCCCCCCCCTCCGCCAGCACCAGCCTCCTCCGCAGCAGGGAGGGGACGAACCCGCGCACGAGCGCGCCCAGGAAGGGGGCGTGGCCGAGTACGCGCTGCACGAGGCGCGCCAAAACCGGCGGAGGGGGCGTGGCCACTGCCGAGGGCCCGCCCCCTCCCCACCCCCCCAGGGCCCGCAGCAGCCCCCCCAGCACGGGCGGCGCCAGCAGCGCAGGGCTCGGCTCCGCCCTCAGCCCCAGCCGGGAGAGCAGCAACAGGATTGGGCCCCGCAGGCCCCGCCCCCAGCGCCAGGGCCCCGCCCCCTGCGGCAGGGCCAGAGGGGGGAGGGGGGGGTAGGGGAGGGGGGTAGGCGGGGAGGATGGGGGAGGGGAGGGAGGAGGGGAGAGGGACTCGGAGAGCAGCCAGGACCTGTGGAGGGAGGGGAAGAGGGGGGAGCCGTCAGGGAGCCAATGGGGACCCACTGGGATCCAGTAGGGACCCATTAGGGACCATTAAGGACCCATTAGGGATCCATTACAGACCATTACGGATCCATCAGGGACCCATCAGGGATCTATGGGGATCCACTAGGGATCTATTAAGGAACCATTAGGGATCCATTCAGGACCCACCATGGACCCATTAGGGATTTATCAGGGACCCATTAGGGATCCATCACGGGTCATTACTGATCCATTGGTATCATCAGGGATCCATCAGGGACTCATTAGGAATCCATTAATGATGCATTGTGGACCCATTAGGGATTTATCAGGGATCATGAGGGATTTATTAGGGATCCACTGGGACCCCATCCCATCACCTCCAAACCCCATCCCACCTCCATCCCATCCCACCACCTCCATCCCTCCCAACCCTACCCCATTATCTCCATCCCATCCCCATCCCCATCCCATCCCAATCCCATCCATCCCACCCCTCCCCCATTATCTCCATCCCATCCCATCCCATCCCATCCCACCCCATCCCACCCCATCCCATCCCATCCCCATCCCCATCCCATCCCAATCCCATCCATCCCACCCCTCCCCCATTATCTCCATCCCATCCCCATCCCATCCCATCCCATCCCATCCCATCCCACCCCATCCCATCCCATCCCCATTCCCATCCCATCCCATCCCCATCCCATCCCCATCCCACCCCTCTCCTCACCTCAGCCCCTGCAAGCTCCCCGTTGCCGCCCTCTTCTGCTCCATCACATCCCTGGGTTGATCGCAGGATGCGGCCGCTTCCTCCTCCTCCTCCTCCTCCTCCTCCTCCTCCTCGTCCTGCACCCCCTGCAGCAGCTCCACCAGCACCGGCACCGCTCCCAGCGCCTCCATGGCCTCCAGCGCCTCCTCATCGTAGGCGAACGCCGCCATCGCCAGCAGGATCCGGGCCCTGCTCCCCTTGCCCTGCGCCTGCCCCAGGCCCTGCACCAGCAGCTCCAACCCCCCCCCCGCTCGGATCCGGGCCCTGTTCACCGCCTCCCTGCACAGGAGGCAGAGCGCCCGCAGCGCGTCCGGATGCTCCCGGTTGCGCCTCACCTCCTCCATCACCGCCTCCACGGCGCCGGCGGCACCGAGGCCCGGCCGCAGGGTACCCATGGCGCAGGCGTTGGCGATGGCGCCCAGGGCGGGGCCTCGCAGCTCGGCCTTGGGCTGCGCCGCCATCAGCGCCAGCGCCGGCAGCGCCGGCAGCAGCTCCGGGAGCGCCGCGCAGGGCGGGAGCGTGAGGGCGCGGAGGGCGCGCGCCAGGGAGGCGCTGGCCGGGTGGGAGCAGGGCAGCGGCGCCAAGCGCGAGGCCAGCGCGGCCACGGCCCCCAGCGCCGTCAGCAGCCGGCGGTGCCGCGAGCGCGACGAGGCGAGGATGCGCAGGGCGCGGGCGGTGCCGTGCAGGCACGAGGGGGAGGTGCAGGAGCGGCAGAGGGAGACCAGGAGGGGGGCTGCGCCTGGGGGGGGGTGGAGAGAGATGGGGTGAGGAGAGACATGGGTACCAAACTCATCCCCATAGAGAGCAATGGGAGACCCATGGATAGCAAACTCATCCCTATAGAGAGCAATGGGAGGCCCATGGATAGCAAACCCATCCCTATGGAGAGCAATGGGAGCCCCATAGATACCAAACTCATCCCCATAGAGAGCAATGGGAGCCCCATGGGTACCAAACCCATCCCCATAGAGAGCAATGGGAGGCCCATAGATACCAAACTCATCCCCATAGAGAGTAATGGGAGCCCCATAGATAGCAAACTCATCCCTATAGAGAGCAATGGGAGCCCCATGGGTACCAAACCCATCCCTATAGAGAGCAATGGGAGCCCTATGGAGAGCAATGGGAGCCCTATGGGTACCATAAGGAGCCCTATAGACACCAAAGGGAGCCCTATGGACAGCAATGGGAGCCCTATGGGTACCAAAGAGATCCCTATGGATACCTTACACTCCCCCATAAGCCCAGAGAGGTGGGGGCGTGCCCTCGGCAGACCCCGCCCACTGCGGCCCTTTACCGCCCCCTGCAGGCCGCGCTGCAAACCCCTGCCTGCGTCCCCATAGACACCAATAGAGCCCCACAGACACCCCATAGAGCCCTACAGCCCCCCATAGCGCCCCATAGACACCCCTATAGACCCCATAGACGCCCCACAGCACTCACCAGCCTCGAGGATGTCGCGGGCACCCTCGGGCTCCAGGGCCAGGTTCGCCAGGGCCCGAACCACGCGGGAGAGAACGCACTCGGGGCCGGGCAGGGAGAGGAGGGACACTGGGGGGCGATGGGAACAATGGGGCAAGGATTTTACCCCATTTTCCTTCATTTTTAACCCATTTCCTCCATTTCCCCCCATTTTTATCCTATTTTTCCCCCATTCCCCTCATTTATATCCCATTTCCCCTCATTTTTAACCTATTTTTCCCCCATTTCCTTCATTTTCCCCTATTTTTACCCAATTTCTCCCCATTTCCCCTCCTTTTCAGCCTATTTTCCCCCATTCCCCCCTTTTTACCCCATTTTCTACCTATTTTCCCCCATTTCCGCCCCCTTTTCCGACTATTTTCCCTCCATTCCTCTCATTTACCTCACTTTACCCCATTTCCCCCCATATTCCCCCATTTCTACCATATTTCCCCCATATTTTCCCCCATTCCCCCTATTTTTACTCCATTTCCCCCATATTTCCCCCGTATTTCCCCTATTTACCCTCATTATTACCCCATTTCCCCCCATTTTCACATTTCTCCCCATTTTTACCCCATTTCTTCCCATTTTTACGCCATTTCCCCCCGGTTTTACCCCATTTCCTCCATTTTTACCCCATTTCCCCTAATTTTTACCCCATTTCCCCCATATTTCCCCCATTCCCCCCATTTTTACTCCATTTCCCGCCTATTTTACCCCATTTCCCCCCATTTTTCCCCGTTTCCCCCCCATATTTACCCCATTTCCCCCCCATTTTAACTCTCCCGCCGCCCGTCCCCTCACCGAGCTCCCTGTCGGCGCCCATGGCCCGGGCCTGCCTCCTGCAGCCGCTCTCTGTGCACACGTTCCCCAGCACGCTCAGCGCCAGCTCCAGCCCCGGCCGGGCCCTGCCCGGTTCCCGCAGCAGCTCCACCAGGGCCCGGACCCCGCCGCGCTCCCGGATGCGGGCGGCGCCGCCGCGGCCTCGCGAGTGCCGGGCCCGGAGCGCGCTCAGAGCCCGGCGGAGGCGCGGCCCCGCCGAGCCCCGGAGGGCCGCAAGGCACCAGCCCAGCGGCTCCGTCATGGCGACACTGCGCGACAGTGCCGTAAAGGGAGGGAGGAGGGAGGGGGGGAGGGAGGGAGGGGTTAAAGGAGGGAGGAGAAGGGAGGGGAGGGGTTAAGGGAGGAACGGGATTGGTTGAGGGAGAAGGGGAAAGTGGGGCTAAGGGAGGAGGAAGGGGATTGGGTGAGGGAAGAGCCAATGGGAAAGGAAGAGCGGAGTTAAGGGAGGGAAGGGATTGGATGAAGGAGAGGGGAAGGGTGGGGTTAAGGGAGGAGGAAGGGGATTGGAGGAAAGGGGAAGTGATGAGCCAATGGGAGGGGAAGGGCGGGTTAAGGGAGGAAGGAGAAGGGAAGGGAGGGGTTAAGGGAGGAGGGAAGGGATTGGGTGAGGGAAGAGCCAATGGGAGGGGAAGGGCGGGTTAAGGGAGGAAGGAGAAGGGAGGGGTTAAAGGAGGAACGGGATTGGGTGAGGGAGAAGGGGAAAGTGGAGTTAAGGAAGGAGGAAGGGGATTGGGTGAGGGAAGAGCCAATGGGAGAGGAAGAGCGGAATTAAGGGAGGAGGAAGGGGATTGGAGGAAAGGGGAAGTGATGGGCCAATGGGAGGGGAAGGGCAGATTAAGGGAGGAAGGAGAACGGAAGGGAGGGGTTAAGGGAGGAGGAACGGGATTGGGTGAGGGAAGAGGGATGAACCAATGGGAGGGGAAGGATGGTGTTAAGGGAGGAGGAAAGGGATTGGAAGCAGATTGGATGAAGGAGAGGCCACGGGCCAATGAGAAGAGCCCTATGTCCCGCCACCCTTTGGGCCCCAACCACCTCCTTATAGGGTTACAAAAACCACGCCCCCTCCACGTAGCGCCCCTCCCCCCCGCGGGGCCCCACCCACCCCGGAGACCACGCCCCCTCCGTTCCCTCCCATTGGCCCCTCCCCCACCGACCACTCCCAGAGCTGCCATTGGCCAGTTTTATTTGTAAAATACACACATAAAAGGAAGGGGGCGGGGCTTAAAGAGGGAGAGGGCGGGGCTTAAAGGGGATGAGGATGGGGCTAGCGCGAGAAGGGGGCGGGGCTTGGAGACAAAGGGGGCGGGGCTCCAGGGCTATGGGGGCGCTGCAAGAGAAGAGAGGGGTGAGGGGAGGGGGGAAGGGGGGGGGGAGCTGCCCCCATCGGCCACCCCATTGGCTGCCCCGCGGCTGCCCATTGGCTGCCATGCCCCACACCTACCGGCCACCGGCCACTGCGGGGGCCCCATGGGAGCAGCTGATTGGTCCTCGGCGCGGGCACTGCTTGTGGCTGATGGGGGGGACAGGGGTCAGCCCCACGGCGCTGCTGCTGCCCCACGGCGCGGGTGGTACCAACATAACCCCCCCCTCCCCGCCTCCCTGCCCCATGGAGTGGGTGCTGCTGCCCCACAGGCAGCCCCATAGACAGATACCAGCCCCATAGACAGCCCCACATCCTGCTGCCAGCCCCACAGACTGTTGACAGCCCCACAACCAGCCCCACAGAGCCCCTTTCCAGCCCCACGTCTTACTGAGCCCCATAGCCTGCTACCAGCCCCACAGACCCCATTTCCAGCCCCACACCTTACTGTCAGCCCCATAGCTCCTCTCCCCGCCCCACATTTGGCTGCCAGCCCCACAGGCAGCCTCACAGCCTGATGCCAGCCCCATAGACCGCCCCACACCTGGCTGACAGCCCCACAGACACCCTCCCAGCCCCACATCCTATTGCCAGCCCCATAACACCCCTTCAAGCCCCACATCCTACTGCCAGCCCCACTGCTCTGCCCCCCCAACTGCTGATGCAAATGACTAAGCCCCACATTGCTGCCCCACAAGTGGGGGTCTTTGCCCACCCCCCAACAACCACCACCATTAAGAGCAGCTTAAGGAAAGAGCACAAAGCGCCCCACAGATCTGCCCCCCAACCGGGCACAGCACCCACCCCACGGGCCCCATCCATCTGCCCCCTAAGTAAGCGCAACGAGCCCCATCCGTCGAACCCACCCCATGGGCCCTAAACAACTGCCCCAAATGGGCCCTGCAGCTCTGCCCCCTAAGTGAGCACAACACGGGCCCCATAAGTGATAAGAACACACCCCATAGGCCTCCCCCCATAGATCCCTCCCCCCCCCAAATAACAATGGGCCCTATAGCTCTGCCCCCTAAGCGGGCCCAGCGTGAACCCCATGGGCCCCACAGATCCCCCCCCGAAGTAACAATGGGTCCTATAGCTCTGCCCCGTAAGTGGGCCCAACGTGAACCCCATAGATCCCTCCCCACCCAGATAACAACGGGCCCTATAGCTCTGACCCCTAAGTGGAACCCCACAGATACCTCCCTCCCTATAGACCCCATAAGCGACAACCCCCCCTAAATCGACACAACATCCACAACACAGACCCCTACATCTCTGCCCCCTAACTGTGCCCCATAGCACTACCACCCCCCCACCCCTCCCCCACCCCGTGCCCCATAGGAGCCCCCCTCCCCCCCCTCCTCCTCACCTGGGCCCGATCCCACGGTGGGGGGGGAGGGGCGCCGCCGAGGCCTCCGCGCCTTCCACACGCGTGTCGCGTGTCACGTGTGGGCCGCACACGTATGTACGGGGGGGGAGGGGTTGGGGGGTGGGGCAACAGGGACCCTCTATGGGGCAGGCGACACCCACGACCCCCAGGTGACCCCGGAGCTGCCCCACGCCGCCTCCTGCCCCACATCCCCCCACTGCCCCCCATACTGGCTCCCAGTGCTGTACTGGGCCGCATCCGTGGCCCCCCCTCCCGCTGCGGCCGCTGCCCCGGATGCTGCGTACTGGGCGGCGCTGGCCGCGTACTGGGCCGCACTGGTGCTATACTGGGAGTCCCCCCCCGTGCCACCACCCCCCGCCGCCGTGGTCGTGGCCGTGTACGAGGTCACCTCATTGGCGCTGCTGCTGGCGCTGGCCGGGTACTGGGAGGCCGCCAGCTGCGCGTACTGGGCGTACTGGGCGCTGATGGCGTACTGGTACTGGGCGCTGCCGTACTGGGACAAGGCGGTGTTGTACTGGGCCGAGCTCAGGCTGTACTGGGACACCCCCCCCACGCTATACTGGGAGGTGGAAGAGGAGGAGGAGGAGGAGGAGGAAGAGCCCCCCCCGCCCCCCAGGCTGTACTGGGCCCCCCCCATCCCATACTGGGCCATGCGGGACGCCATGGCCGGGGTGATGGCGAATGGGGAGGGGGCTCGCGGTGGGGTCCCCCCGCCCCCGACGCGGGGATGGAGATGGGGGGGGTGATGGTGGTGATGGTGATGGCAGCAGCAGCCCCCCCCGCCGCCGCCCACCCCGCCCAGCCCTCCTGCGCCCCAATTGGCCGCCAGGGATGCCCGCTGCCCGCACAGCCCGACCAATCGGCTGCCGCCGCCGCAGCCCCCGAAGCCCGCCCCCCCGAGGCCCCCGTTACCATGGAAACGGTGCAGGCAGCTCCCACCCATACGTCCGCCGCATCCCATAAGCCCGTTACCCTGGAAACGATGCAGGCAGGACCGGAACCCGCACACCCCCCCGGCCCCCCCGCGCAGGAAAGGGGAGGAGGAGGAGGCGGGGCTCCGCGGGTAAGCCCCGCCCCCTCCCGCCCGGCCTGGGGGTGTGGCCAAAAAGGGCGTGGCCGGGCGCGGGAAAGCCCCGCCCCCTGCTCTCCCACCCCCTCCCGCCCCCAGCAGGGGGAAGGGGCCCCTCGGGGTCAGTCCCCCCCCAGCCGCGCCCCCCCCACCCCCGGCCCGGGTCGGGGTGAGGCTGAGGAGGGAGCCGGGGGGGGCCAAGGGGCGGGGCGAGGGCCTGGCCCCGCCCCCCGCGATGCCGCGGGCCAATGAGGGGGCAGTGGGGAGGGCGAGGAGAGAGCCGGGAGGGCGCGCCAGGGGCGTGGCGGCCGTGGCCACGCCCCCTGTTTTGGCGGGAACCAGGGAGAGGAGCGGGGGGCGGGGCTCTGATGAGGAGGAGGAAGAGGAGGAGGTGGTGGTGGGGGTGGGGGTGGAAGTGGAGGGGGTGGGGGTGGAAGCAGGGGGGGCGGAGGAGGTGGGGGGAGGGGGGGATTTGGAGGGGGTGGGGGTCGCTGGGGGGGCGCTGGCGGGGTCAGGGGGGTCAGGAGGGGGCGGGGAGGAAGAGGAAGGCTGGGGGGGGGCGGTGGGAGCTGCAGCGGCGGCAGCAGCGGGAGGGGCCGAGGAGGAGGAGGAGGAGGAGGAAGAGGAGGAGGAGGAAGAGGAAGAAGAGGAGGAAGAGGAGGAGGAGGAGGAGGAAGAGGAGGAGGAGGAGGAAGAGGAAGAGGAGGAGGAGGAGGAAGAGGAAGAGGAGGAGGAGGAGGAGGAGGAGGAGGAAGAGGAGGAGGAGGAAGAGCGGCGCCGCTTGCGGCGGGTGACGGTGGCGGGGCGGCCCTCCCGGGTCTCTGCCGATGGCAGCGCCGGTGCCGGTGCCGCCGCCGCGGCCGCCGCGGGCTCCGGGGCTGGGGCCGGGGTCACCGGGGCTGCCGGAGCCGGGGGTGCCGGGGCTGCCGGTGCCGGCCCTTCCGTGGCCGTGGTGGTGGTGGTGGTGGTGCTGGCACTGGGGGACCTGTGGGGGGCACAATGGAGGGGGCGGTGAGGGATGGGGAGGGGGGGTAACGGCACCCATGGGGAGGGGGAGCCCCATAAGGGAGCCCTATGGAGTGCAGATCGGGGTGGGGGCACCCATGGGGAGGGGGAGCCCCATAATGGAACCCTATGGGGTGCAGATAGGGGGGGGGCACCCATGGGAAGGGGGGAGCCTCACAGGGTGCAGGTCGGGGTGGGGGCACCCATGGGGACAGGGAACCCCATAATGGAGCCCTATGGGGCTCAGACTGCAGTAGGGGCCCCTGGGGACAAGGGGCGTGGCCAGGCAGAGGGGGCGTGGCTTGAGGAGTACCCAAAGGGTTAGGAGGTGGGGGGGGTGTCCACGCAAATGAAGGGCGTGGCCTGCCCTTCTATGGGAGGGAAGGGGCGTGTCTTACCCGACAGGGGCGGGGCCAGGCAGAAGGGGCGTGGCTTGCGGGCTAGGCAGCTCACCCAAAGGGCGCAGAGCCGGGTGGGGGTGGGTGGGTGCATGCAAATGAGGGGCGTGGCTTGCCCTTCTATGGGAGGGAAGGGGGCGTGACTTACCCGTCAGGGGCGGGGCCAGGCGGTGCCGGCGAGGGGGGCCCGGACTCGGAGGAGCTGGAGCTGGAGTCGGAGTCGGAGGAGGACGAGGAGGAGGAGGAGGAGGAGGAAGAGGAGGAGGAGGAGGACGAGGATGAAGAGGAGGAGGAGCCACCCTTGGGCACGGCCGTGACGTCAGCGGTGACGTCAGCAGTGATGTCAGGGCCCGTCTCCATAGGGACGCTGTCGGTACTGGGAGCGCTGGTGTCCGGAGCGGCGACGGTGATGCCGGGGGCTGTGGTGTCCGCGGCGGCCCTGGTGATGCTGGGAGCACTGGGAGCACTGGTGTCCTTAGGAGCAATGGTGATACTGGGAGCACTGGTGTCCTTAGGAGCAACGGTGGTACTGGGAGCACTGGTGGCAATGGGAGCACCAGTATCCTTAGGAACAATGGTGATACTTGGAGCACTGGTGGCGCTGGGAGCACTAGCATCCTTAGGAACAACGGTGACACTGGGAGCATTGGTATCCTTAGGAGCAACGGTGATACTGGGAGCACTGGTCAGACTGGTGCCACTGGACGCAATGGTATCCTTAGGAGCACTGGTGATACTGGTTGCACTGGTATCCTTAGGAGCACTGGTGACACTGGGAGCACCGGTATCCTTAGGAACAACGGTGACACTGAGAACACCAGTATCCTTAGGAGCAATGGTGATACTGGTCGCACTGGTGACACTGGGAGCACTGGTGGTCCTGGTGTCCATGGACGCGATGGTGGCACTGGTGACACTGGTTGCACTGGTGTCCCTCGGAGCACTGGTGGCAATGGAGACACATCCAGCACTGGGGATACCGGGAGCGTTGGTCATACTGGTGCCACTGGGAGCACTGGCGCTGTTGGGAGAGCTGGGGACACGTCCAGGACTGGTCACACTGGTGGCAATGGTGGCACCAGGACTAGGAGCACTGGTCACACTGGGAGCGATGGGGACACGTCCAGGACTGGTCACACTGGTGGCAATGGTGGCAGCAGGACTGGGAGCACTGGTCACACTGGGAGCAATGGGGACACGTCCAGGACTGGTCACACTGGTGGCAATGGCGGCACCAGGACTGGGAGCACTGGTCACACTGGGAGCGATGGGGACACGTCCAGGACTGGTCACGTGGGTGGCGATGGTGGCACCGGCACTGGTTACACTGGGAGCACTGAGGCCACTGGTCATACTGGCCCCACTGGTGACACTGGTCATATTGGTCACACTGGGAGCACTGAGGCCACTGGTGGCACTGGTCATACTGGTCACACTGGGACCGGTGGGCACGCTGGTCATACTGGTCACACTGGTGACACTGGGACGGCTCAGGACACTGGTGACGCTGGGACCAGTGGGCACACTGGTCATACTGGTCGCACTGGGACGGCTCAGGACACTGGTGACACTGGGACCAGTGGGCACACTGGTCATGCTGGTCGCACTGGGACGGCTCAGGACACTGGTGACACTGGGACCCCCGAGGACACTGCTCATACTGGTCGCACTGGTGACACTGGTTGCGGTGAGACGGCTCAGGACACTGGTGACACTGGGACCAGTAAGAACACTGGTCACACTGGTGACACTAGTCGCACTGGTTGCAGTGAGGCGGCTCAGCACACTGGTGACACTGGGACCACTGAGGATACTGGCTGCACTGGTGACACTGGTGACAGTATGACGGCTCAGCACACTGGTGACACTGGGACCACTGAGGATACTGGCTGCACTGGTGACACTGGTGACAGTATGATGGCTCAGGACACTGGTGACACTGAGAGTGCTGGTGACACTGGTGGCGCTGAGGACACTGGTAGCACTCGTGACACTGGTGGCAGTGGGGCGGCTCAGGCCACTGGTGACACTGGGACTAGAGGGCGCACTGGTCAGACTGGTCGCACTGGGATGGCTCAGGCCACTGGTGCCACTGGTGACGCTGGCATCCTTAGGAGTAACGGTCACACTGGGAGCAGTGGGCTCACTGGTCATACTGGTCGTGCTGGGACGGCTCAGGACACTGGTGACACTGGGAGCACTGAGGATACTGGTGACACTGGGACCCATAGGCACGCTGGTGGCACTCGTATCCTTAGGAGCAATGGTGACACTGGTTCCACTGGTCATAGTAGTCCCACTGGTGACACTGGTTGCAGTGAGACGGCTCAGGACACTGGTGACACTGGGAGCACTGGTCGCACTGAGGACACTGGTGACACTGGGAGCACTGGTCGCACTGAGGACACTGGTGACACTGGGAGCAGTGGTCGCACTGAGGACACTGGGACTGGTGGGCACACTGGTCATACTGGTCACACTGGGACGGCTCAGGACACTGGTGATGCTGGTAGCACTGAGGACACTGGGAGCACTGGTGACACTGGGACTGGTGATCACACTGGTCATACTGGTAGCACTCGGACGGCTCAAGACACTGGTGACATTGGTATCCTTAGGAGCAATGGTGACACTGGCTGCACTGGTCGCACTGGTGACACCGGGACTGGTGAGCACACTGGTCGTACTGGTGGCACTGGTTGCAGCCAGCCGGCTCAGCACACTGGTGACACTGGGCCCACTGAAGACACTGCTTGCACTGGTGATGCTGATGGCCACGGTGGTGACGGTGGCACTGGTGGCACTGGGGCTGAGAGCCGCACACTTGATGCCCCCATCCGCAGCGGTGACGGTGACAGAGCCTTTGGTGGCCATGGTGGTGGCACCAGCACCGGTGACCGTGGTGGCGCTGGCACCCGTGGGGCCAACAGGGGCCTTGGTGGTGGCCATGGCAACACCGGTGCCTGTATCCATGGGGGCCTTGGTGGTGGCCATGGTAACACCGGTGCCTGTATCCATGGGGGCCTTGCTGGTGGCGCTGGCGCTGGCAGCCGCGGTGACGCCGGTGGCAGTGTCCATGGTGGCCTTGGAGGTGGCTGCAGCGGTGCTGACGCTGGTTGTGGTGACGCTGGTTGTGGTGGCGCTGGCAGCCATAGCGGTGGCCACAGCGGTTGCCTTGGTGGTGGTGGCACCGGTGACATCCACGGTGGTGACGCTGGTGATGGCGTCTGCAGTGGCCTTGGTGGTGGTGGCGCTGGAGCTGGTGGCTGCAATGCTGTTGGTGGCCATGGCGGTGGCCATGGTGGTGGTGGTGGCACTGGCGGCGGCCATGGCGGTGGCCACGGTGGCCTTGGAGGCAGCTCCAATGGTGGTGGCACCGCTCACGGCGTCCACGGTGGCCTTAGCGGTGGCGACGCCGGTGCCGCTGTCCACGGTGCCCTTGGCAGCCCCGGCATCCGTAGCGGTGGCCACGGCAGCCGCGGTGGCCTTGGTGCCGGTGTCCAGGGTGGCTTTAGCAGCCGCTGCCACGGTGCCCCCGCCATTGACGCCCATGGTGCCGCCGGTGGGTGCTGCCATCGCCATCGCCCTGTGCCCTGGCAGGAGCCGGTGCCCGTGGGGCGGTGGCAGCACCGACGCCGCCACCGGTGACGAGGGCAGCCCCAGGCGCGCCGCCGGCAGCAGCTTGGCCGTCAGGGCTCTGGGTAACCCCGGGGGGGGCGGTGGGGGGGTCCCCAGTTTGCTGGGGGCACCGGGGGACAGTTTGGGGACTGCCGTTGGCTTGAGGGTGCTCGGGGGTGGTGGTGGTGGTGGTGGCGGTGGTGGTGCCCGGGTGCCGGCCGGTGCCGCGGGGCTTGGCGCTGGTTTGGGTGCTATGGGCTTCGCTTCGGGCTTGGGGGTGCTCACCGGTGCCACCACGGGCATGGCCTTGGGTAGAGCCGGGGATACCGGGGTCACCGGCGCTGCTGCTTTGGCCTCGGGGGTGGCTTTGGTGTCCGCGGCCTTAGGGGGGGTCACCGGTGCTGCTGCTGCTGCTGCCACGGGGGTCGCCTTGGGGCTGGGCTGCGCCGGCGCCACCGGAGCCGCTTTGGTGTCACCGGTGCCCGCTTTGGCCTCCGGCTGCGGCTTCACCTCGCCTTGCCCCTCACTGCCCCCACCCTCGGTGCCGGGGGGCGCCGGCTGCGCAGGGCCCCCCCCGATGGGCACCCATTTGGGTGCAGCCGCTTTGGCCTCTGGGGCTGAGGGGGTGGCGGTGGCAGCTTTGGCTAAGCCGGGGGGGGGCTGCGGGGCTGCCGGGTGCAGCTCGGCGATGGGCACCCACTTGGGGCGTGCCGGGGGGGGTGCCGGGGAGGGGGGCTTGGGTTTGGGGGGGGACACGGCGGGGGTGGTGGCGGCGGTGGTGGTGTTGGATGGGGGCTGGGAAGGGGGTGCCGGAGGTGGGGGGGAGCGCGTGGAGCTGCGGCGGCGGCGCTGGCGGGAGGGGGAGCGGGAGGCGGCGCGGGTCCGTTTGATGCCGCGGGGGGGGGTGGACGGGGAGCGCCCGCGCCGGGACCTGGGGGAGGAATCGGAGCGGGAGCGGCGGCGTCGGCGGCGCCGGGGCAAGGGGGAGGAACCGGAGCGGCTGCGGGAGGTGGAGCGGCGGCGGGAGCGGGAGCGTCGGCGCGTGCCGGAGCGGGAGCGGCGGCGGGAGCGGGAGCGGGCCCAGCGGGAGCGGGACCAAGCGCGGGGGGAGCGGGAGCGGCGTCGCGGGGCCGGGGAACGGGAGCGGGAGCGGGGCAGGGGCCAGCGGATGGGGCTGGTGGAGTTGGGGCGCCAGAGAGGGGTGCGGGAGCGGGAGCGGCGGCGGCGGGAGGAGCGGGAGCGGCGGCGGCGGCGGGAGGAGGAAGGGGGGGTGCGGGAACGGCGGCGGGAGCGGGAGCGGCGGCGGGAGGAGCGCGAGGGGGGGGTGCGGGACCGGCGGCGGGAACGGGAGCGGGAGCGGCGGGCGCGGGAGCGCTTGGAGGAGGAGGAGGAGGAAGGGGGGGGCGGCGCGGGGGGGGTGAGGGAGCGGTCACGGCGCGATGACGTCACGGCCGGGGGGGGGCTTTTGGCGCGGCGGGGGGGGGGGGACGGGGAGGGGGATGGGGAGCGGGGGGCGCGGCGCTGGGGTATGACTGGGGGGGGGGATGGGGTTGGGGAGGAGGCGGGGGGCGGCGTGGGTGCGGTTGGTGCCGGTGCCGGTGGGGCCGGTTCGGTTGTTGTTGGTGCCGGTGCTGGTGCTGGTGTTGGTGATGGGGGGGTCGCTGCTGGTGCTGCCGGGGGGGGGCTCACAACCGGCGCCGGTGCCTGGGGCTCCTCGGGGGCGAGCGGCGGCGCTGGCAGCTCCTATGGGACACACAGAGCAGAACGGGGGGGTCAATAGGGGTGGGTATAGAGAGGAAAGGGGGGGTCCCCCCCCCACGCACACGGTCCCGCCGCGCCCCCCCTCCGGGGCTCACCTCCGGTGCAGGGGCCGGGCCCGGTGGTGCCGGTGCCGGGGCTGGGGCTGAGACCGGCCCCGGCTCTTCGGTGTCTTGGTGGGTGGCGGCGGTGACGCTGCGGGACCTGCGGGGGGGGGGTAAGGTTGGGGGGGGGTAACAAGGGGGGGGGGGTATAAGAAAGGGGGGGTTGGGACTTACCGGCTGCGGGAGGAAGTGGAGGAGGAGGAGGAGGCGGCGGGGGAGGAAGAGGGGCCCTCGCGGCGGCTCTTCTGAGAGGCCGATTCGCTGGTGGATCTGGGGGGGGCATCGCGGGGGTCAATGGGGGGGGAAGGGGGCGACCCACAAGTTGGGGGGAGAAGATAGGGGGGTAAAAGGGAGTAAAAGGGGGAGTGGGGGGGCAGGGAAGGGCACAAAGGGGGGTGGGGGGAAGGGGGGTTCATGGGGTCACAAGGAGGATATGGGGGGGACAAGGTGGGGGGGGCACAAGATGGGTCTGGGGGGACCCAAGTTGTGGTTCTTGGGGGGCAATGGGGGGCTTGGAGGTCAATGGGGGTTGGGGGGGGGGCACCTCTTACCTCTTCCGCTTCTTCTCTTTGGCCTTGTGCTTGCTTTTGGGGCTGGGAGAGCTGGGGGGGGTGGGGCAATAATGATATCATCAATGACATCAGTGACATCATCACAGCACCCTCAAAACCCATTTCCCCCCCCCCCAGAACACCCCCTCCCAGTGATTCCCTAAATCCCATAGGAAACCCCCCCACCCTCACCGGTGCTTCCGCTTCTTGGCCTCCGATTCAGACCTAGCAATGAGAGGAGAAAGGAAGGGGGGTAATGGGGTAAATGAGGGGCTGCCCCATAGAGACTCTGCCCCACAGCCCCCCTGCCCCATAGAGGCTCTGCCCCATAGAGGCTCTGCTCCCCACCTGTGCTTCTTCTTCTTGGAGCTCTTCTTCCTCTCCCCAGAGCGACTGGCAGACCTGGGGGGGGGGGTATGGATGAGACCCCTCATTGCAACCCATAATAATCGCCATGCATCCCATAATAGACTCCTACATCCCATAATAAGCACCCTGACCTGCCCCGATCCTTCTTCTTCTTCTTCTTCTTCTGCTTAGGGGAGGGCGAGCGGGAGCTGGATGAGTCCCTCACAGCACTGGGGGGGGGGCACAGCACCAGTGGGGGTCAGAGGGGGTTTGGGGCACAAAGTGACCCCGAAACCACCCCAAACCTGCCCTGTGTACCCCAAACCCCATACATTGAACTCCAAAGAGGGTTTATACCCCCCAAAGCACTTCCTGAACCCCAAAACGCACATAAACCCCCCCAAAACCCTCTCCTGTAACCCAAAACCCATCATATCTCCCCTAAACCCCATACTCTGGGCTCAAAACACCCCTTAACCCCCCAAACCCCCTTCTGAACCCCAAACTCCCCTAAACATACCCCAAAATCCCCCATATCTCCCCTAAACCCCATACTCAGGACTCCTAAAGGGATTTAAAGGGGTTTAAGACCCCCAACTCCCCCTTCTGAACCCCAAACCCCTCCTTTGTCCCCACAAATCCCACCCCGAGCCCCCCAAATCCCCTTCCAATCCCTTCTGAACCCCAATCCCCCCCCTTTGTCCCCCCAAATCCTACCCCCTGAGCCCCCCAAATCCCCTTCCAATCCCTTCTGAACCCCAACCCCCCCCTTGTCCCCCCAAATCCCACCCCCTTTGCCCCCAAATCCCCTTCCAATCCCTTCTGAACCCCAATCCCCCCCTCCCGCGCCCCAACCCCCTGGTGCTCACGGGGCCGGGTTGGGGGGCTCGGGGGGGGCCTCCTTGGCGCGGCGGCTGGGGTCGAAGGAGCTGCCATCCACGTAGGTGTCACTGATGCCAAAGGCGGCCCGGAGCCGCTCGTTCTTCTTCTCATTGGCCTCAGCCAGCTGATGGGTCTCTGTCACCCTATAAAAGAGGGGGGTAAAGGGGTCGGGGGGGTTAATGGGGTGTTTATGGGGTTTGGGGGGGGTTAAAAGGGGTTTGGGGGGGGGCTCACGTTGGTTTCTGCTCGGGTTCCCCCAAAGCCACGTCCTTCTCCAGTAGCATCATGCGGAACGTGGCCACCTTCTCCTGGATCTCGCCCTCGGCGTAGCTGTGGGGGGGGCAAAAAGGGGGTGATTGGGGGGGAAAAGGGGGTTTGGGGGGGAAAAGGGGGTGTTTGGGGCTCCAAATGGGGTATGGGGAGTGGGATTTGGGGGTCAGAGAGGGGCTCTGGGGGTCCATGGGGTGTATTTTGGGGGTGTCAGAGGTGAGTGTTGGAGGTTGGGGGTCGGTTTGGGGGCCCAAAAAGGAGGTTTTGGTGTCTTAGAGGTGAATTTTGGCTCTCAGAGATGCATTTTGGGGTGTAAAAGGGCAGTTTTGGTGTCTCTGAGCTGTGTTACGGGATTCCCAGAAGTGTACATGGGGGGCTCAGAGATGCAATCTGAGGGTTCTAGGAACGTTTTGGGGGTCCCATAGGCGTACACAGAGGTCCCACAGGGGTCCATAGGGCTCCCATAGCTATCCACAGGGGTCCCCTCTGCTCACCCCTGCTCCTCCATGAGCTCAGCCAGCTCCAAGCATTTCAGAGCTGTATTTAGGGGTGTTTAGGGGCTCCCATAGGTGCCTATAGGGCTCCCCCCCATAGGTGTCCATAGGGCTCTCATAGGCGTCTACAGGGCTCCCTCCCCTAGGTGTCCATAAGGCTCCCCCCCACAGATGTCCATAGGGCTCCCCCCCATAGGTGTCGACAGGGCTCATAAGGCCAGGCTCACCCCTGCTCCTCCATGAGCTCGGTCAGCTCCAGACATTTCAGAGCTGTATTTAGGGGTGTTTAGGGGCTCCCATAGGTGCCTATAGGGCTCCCCCCCATAGATGTCCATAGGGCTCCCCCCCATAGGTGTCCACAGGGCTCATAAGGCCAGGCTCACCCCTGCTCCTCCATGAGCTCGGTCAGCTCCAGACATTTCAGAGCTGTATTTAGGGGTGTTTAGGGGCTCCCATAGGTACCTATAGGGCTCCCCCCCATAGATGTCCATAGGGCTCCCCCCATAGGTGTCCATGGGCTCATAAGGCCAGGCTCACCCCTGCTCCTCCATGAGCTCGGTCAGCTCCAGACATTTCAGAGCTGTATTTAGGGGTGTTTAGGGGCTCCCATAGGTACAAACCAACCTATAGGGCTCCCCCCATAGGTGTCCATAGGGCTCCCCCCCCATAGGTGTCCATAGGGCTCATAAGGCCACGCTCACCCCTGCTCCTCCATGAGCTCGGTCAGCTCCAGACATTTCAGAGCTGTATTTAGGGGTGTTTAGGGGCTCCCATAGGTACATATAGGGTTCTCACAGGTGTCTATAGGGCTCTCCCCCATAGGTGTCCATGGGCTCATAAGGCCAGGCTCACCCCTGCTCCTCCATGAGCTCGGTCAGCTCCAGACATTTCAGCTCCACCTTCCTCTTGCGCTGGTGGTCCAGGATGTCGGGGTTGGGCCTCTTGGCCAGCCCGGCCTCCAGCCTGCGCAGCTCCTCCTCGCCGGGGGGGGGCTCGGTTCCGCCGCCCCCCTTCTTGTGCCGCAGGGCCGAGAGGTTGCGCTGGACGTAGCCGTTGGTGCCGCTGCCCCGCGGCGTGGGCAGCCCGATCCCATTGTACATGGCGGGCGCCGCGCCAAGGGCCTGCGGGGGGGCGCGTCAGGGACCCCCCCGCCCCCCTTATAACCCCCCCAAACCCCCTCTCGTACCCTCCCTATGACCCTCTTTAGAGCCCCTCTCTGTGCACATTGATGCTCCCTTTACATGCGCTCCTATACCCCTCTTTAGACCCCCCTCTATAGGCTCCTTTACACCCCTCCTCTATACACCCCCTCTATAACCCGTTTCATATCCCCCTTCTATACACCCCTCTTTAGACCCCCCTCTATGCACGCCTTCCATGTTCCCTTTATACCTCTTCTACACACCCCCCTATGCACCCCTTTTACTCTCCTATACCCCCCCTTTGTACTTCCCTCTATGCACCCCTTTGAGCCCCCTCTATGCACCCCTTCCATACTCCCTTTATACCTCTGCTACAACCCCTCTATACCCCTCTTACTCCCCTCTATATCCCCCTTTTTTATTCTTCATATTCTCTCTCTATACCCCCATGTACCTCTTTTACCCCTCTCTATACCCTTTTATATCCCCTCTCTATACCATGTACCCCTTTTACCCCTCCCTATACCCCCCTTTATAACCCCTCTATACCCATGTACCCCTTTCCCCCCCTTTATATTCCCCTCTATACCCCCATGTACCTTTTACACTCCTCTATCCCCCTTTATATCCCTCCTCTATACCATGTACCCCTTTTACCCCCTCTATACCCCCTTTAACCCCCCTCTATACCTTTATATCCCCCCTCTATACCCATGTACCCTTTTACCTTCTCTATCCCCCTTTATATCCCCCCTCTATACCCATGTACCCCTTTTACCCCCACTATACCCCTTTATATCCCCCCCATACCCCCATGCACCCCTTTTACCCCCTTATACTTCCTCTCCATGCACCCCTCCTATACCCCCTTTATACCCCCCATTCACCCCACTATACCCCTCTATAACCCCCTGCACCCCCATGCCCTCCTCCCTGTTTCCCGTTTCCCTTCCTAAACCCCACTTTTATTCCCCCAAACCCCCTCTTTTTGCAGTAAAAGCCCCACTTTTCCCTCCTGAACCCCAATTTTCCTTCATAAATCCCACTTTTCACTCGTAAATCCCACTTTTCACTCGTAAATTCTTCTTTTTCCTTCATAAATCCCGCTTCTGTCCCACAAAGAATTCCACTTTTTTCCCTCAAACACACTAGTTTTGACTCCTAAAGTCTGGGGTTTTCCCTCACAAACCCCACTTTTTCCCTCATAAATCCGGTGTTTTTCCTCACAAACACCACCTTTTCCCTCATTAACCCCATTTTTCCCTCATAAATCCCACTTTTTCCCTCACAAACCCCAATTTTTCCCTCACAAACCCCACTTTTCCCTCACAAATCCCACTTTTTCCTCATAAATCCCATGTTTTCCCTCACAAACCCCACTTTTTCCCTCACAAACCCCACTTTTTCTCTCATAAATCCGTTTCCTCACAAACACCACCTTTTTCCTCATTAACCCCATTTTTCCCTCATAAATCCCACTTTTTCCCTCACAAACCCCAATTTTTCCCTCACAAACCCCACTTTTTCCCTCATAAATCCGGTGTTTTTCCTCACAAACACCACCTTTTCCCTCATTAACCCCATTTTTCCCTCATAAATCCCACTTTTTCCCTCACAAACCCCAATTTTTCCCTCACAAACCCCACTTTTCCCTCACAAATCCCACTTTTTCCTCATAAATCCCATGTTTTCCCTCACAAACCCCACTTTTTCTCTCATAAACCCCACTTTTTCCCTCATAAATCCCACTTTTTCCCTCACAAATACCACTTTTCCCTCAGAGCCCACATTTTCCCTCACAAACCCCACCTTTTCCCTCATAAATCCCACTTTACCTTCACAAATCCCACTTTTTCCCTCATAAATCCCATTTTTTCCCTCACAAACCCCACTTTTTCCCTCACAAACCCCACTTTTTCCCTCATAAATCCGGTGTTTTTCCTCACAAACACCACCTTTTCCCTCATTAACCACATTTTTCCCTCATAAATCCCACTTTTTCCCTCACAAACCCCACTTTTTCCCTCACAATCCCCACTTTTCCCTCACAAACCCCACTTTTCCCTCACAAATCCCACTTTTTCCTCATAAATCCCATGTTTTCCCTCAGAGCCCACATTTTCCCTCACAAACCCCACCTTTTCCCTCATAAATCCCACTTTTTCCCTCATAAATCTTACTTTTCCTTCACAAACCCCACCTTTTCCCTCATAAATCCCACTTTACCTTCACAAATCCCACTTTTTCCCTCATAAACCCCACTTTTTCCCTCATAAACCTTACTTTTCCTTCACAAACCCCACTTTTTTCCTCATAAACCCCACTTTTTCTCTCATAAACCCCACTTTTTCCCTCATAAATCCCACTTTTTCCCTCATGAATCCCACTTTTTCCCTCACAAACCTCACTTTTTCCCTCATAAATCCATTTTTCCCTCATAAACCCCACTTTTCCCCTCATAAATCCCACTTTTTTCCTCAAAAATCCTACTTTTTCCCTCATAAACCCCACCTTTTCCATCATACACCCCACTTTTTCCCTCATAAATTCCACTTTTTCCCTCACAAACCCCACTTTTTCCCTCACAAATCCCACGTTTTCCTTCATAAAGCCCACTTTTTCCCTCACAAATCCCACCTTTTTCCTTCATAAGTCCCACTTTTTCCCTCTTAAATCCTCATTTTCCTCTCGTAAATCCCATTTTTCCCACATAAAATCCGTATTTCTCCTAAAAAAAAATTTTCCCTCATAAATCCCACTTTTACCCCCAAACCGCCCACTTTTCCCTCATTAAACCCACGTTGTCCCTCAAAACCTCACTTTTGCCCTCATAAATCCCACTTTTTCCCACATGAATCCCACTTTTCCCTCATGAACCCCACTTTTTCGCTCAAAACTCCCACTTTTCACTTCACAATCCCCCTTTTCCATCACAAATCCCACTCTTCCCGTCATAAAATCAATTTTGTTCCCCCAAACACCGCTTTTCCCCTCACAAGCTCATCTTTTCCCCATAAACCCAATTTTCCATAATAAACCCCACTTTTTCCCTCACAAATCCCATTTTCCTCCCCAATCCCACACTTCCCACCCTAAACCCGCCTTTTCTTCCCCAATATTTTTCCCCTCAAAAACTCCCCTTTTTCCCTCAGGAAACCGACAAATCCCCATTTTTCCCCTCATACTTCCCGCTTTTCCCTTCTCAAAACCCCTTTTTCCCCAAGCCCCCACTTTTCCCCTCAATCCCCCCTCGATCCCATTTTTTCCTCCCAAAACCCGTCTTTCCCCATCGCCTTTTCCCAAACCCCCCTTTTTTCCCCTCAAAACTCCCTTCCTCCCCCCCCCCCCGCCTTTCCCCTCAGAAACCGCCATTTCCCTCAGGAACCCGCACCCCCCCACCCCCCCGTCGAACGCCCACTAACGGTCGTTATCGGTTTTTAACGGTCGCTAACGGTCCCCAACGCCAGCCCCGGGGCCTCACCGGCTCCGATGGGGCCCAACGAGTTCCGTCCGCGGCGGCCGAGGCCCGAACAACCGGAACGCGGAGCGACGCCACGCGACACCGCCTCCTCTTCCGGCCGATAGCCGAACTGCCCTGCCGCGCTCAGGGCGCATGCGCGGGCCCCCGCCTCGCCGCGCTAAGCCCGCCGGGAAATGTAGTTCTTTATGCGGCCCCCCCTCCCCGTAGGGCGCAAGGGGAAGTCGGACTACAACTCCCAGGGTACCCCGCGCGCGGCCGCCATCTTGTGGCTCCTCCGGCGGCGGCTCCCCTGCGGTGCACGCCGGGAGTCGTAGTCCGCTCTCCGTTACACCGGACGCAGGAGGCGCCCTAAAGAACGACATTTCCCGGCGTGCCTTGCGCGCCGCCGCCATCTTGTGAGGGGACCGCCTTCGGGCCCTACGGATGGGCGGGGCTAACACCACAGGCCCCATAGAGGGGCGGGGCTAAGGCCGAAGGCCCTATAGATGGGCGGGGATAAGGGCACGGACCCTATAGATGGGCGGGGCTAAGGCTAAAGCTCCTATAGAGGGCACAAAGCCAGGCTCTTTCCCACATATAGGGGCAGGTTTGAGGGTATGGGCCCTATAGATTGGTGGGGCTAAGCCTAAAGGCCCTATAAAGGGGCGCGTTTAAGGGTATAGGGCCCTATATCGGGGATCCCATAGGGTGTTTCCCCTATGGAGAGGCCAGGCTCGGGCTCCTTCCCCTATAAAGGGGCGGTCCCAAGGCCCTTTCCCCCTATAGGGGCCCCCATTGTTCCCGGTGCCCCTATAGGGGCCTCTTCCCGCTCCATCCAGAGCTGCTCCGGCCGCCATGGAGGTAACTGGGACCCCCCCCCCTTCCCCATAGGGTTCTATAGGGGCCCCTATAGGGTCCTGACCCCCCCCCATAGCCTCTAAGCCCCCCATATACCCCTTCAGCCCCCTTATACAGCCCCTATAGCGCCCTCCAAGCCCCTCCCTGCATCCCTCCGTGCTCCATAACCTCCCCTATACGGCCCCATAGCCCCTATATGGCCCCCATAGGGCCCCAGTCTAGCCCCTATAGGGCCCCAGAGCCCCTCCGAAACCCCCCCACAGGCTCTGAGCCCCACATACGGCCCCTGTTCCCCCCCCATACGGCCCCTATATGGTCCCATTGCCCTTATACACTCCCTATATGACCCCATATACCCCTATATACCCCCTATATGACCCCATATACCCCCTATATAAGCCCTGTATGACCCCATACACCTCCTATCTGACCCCATACGGCCCCTGTGTGCCGCAGGTGCTGGCTGTGGCTGTGCTGGTGGCACTGGTGGCACTGGGAGAGGGGCAGCCCATTGACCCCCATGGTGAGCAGTGGGCAGGGGGGGATTATGGGATGGATGGGATACGGGATATGGGGTGTATTGGGTGTGGGGTACATGGGGTAGGGTATAGGGGATATGGGAAATGGGATACACAATGTATGGGGAAGGGAATGGGATGTGGGTATGGATATGGGGTGTATGGGATGTATGGGGTGTATCCCTATGGGCTCCATTATTCCCTATGGCCCCCATTGTTCCCTATGGCCCCCATTGTTCCCTATGGCCCCCATTGTTCCCTATGGCCCCCCCATTGCTCCCTATGGCCCCCATTATCCCCTATGGCCCCCATTGTTCCCTATGGCCCCCATTGCTCCCTATGGCCCCCATTGTTCCCTATGGCCCCCATTGCTCCCTATGGCCCCCATTGTTCCCTATGGCCCCCATTGTTCCCTATGGCCCCCATTGCTCCCTATGGCCCCCATTTTCCCCTATGGCCCCCATTGCTCCCTATGGCCCCCATTGCTCCCTATGGCCCCCATTGTTCCCTATGGCCCCATTGCTCCCTATGGCCCCCATTGCTCCCTATGGCCCCCATTGCTCCCTATGGCCCCCATTGTCCCCAGCCCCCCCCGGCTCGTGCCCGCCGCCCCCCCCCCGGGACTGCCAGGACGTGCACGCGCGGGGCGCGCGCTCCGACGGGGTCCACCTGATCTACCCGGCAGGGGGCGCTGCCGCGCCCGTGCCCGTCTACTGCGACATGAGCACGGAAGGGCACGTCTGGACGGTACCGCCCCCCCCCGCCGCACCGCGGCGCCCCCTAGCGGCTCGGAGGGCTTCATAGCGCTCTATGGGCGCCTCCATAGAGCCCTATGGAGCCCCATAGCGCCCTATAGCGCCCTATATATATGGGTCTGCCCCCCCCCCCCCGCTGCCGTTGCAGGTGTTCCAGAAGCGCTTCAATGGCTCCGTGAGCTTCTTCCGAGGCTGGGATGACTACAAGAGGGGCTTCGGGAGGGCCGATGGAGAGTACTGGCTGGGTGAGAGAGGGGCTATAGGGACACATAGGGAGATGTGGGGGACATAGGGACACATAGGGGTCAATAGGGACACATAGGGGTCCATAGGGTCCATAGGGACACATAGGGAGACATAGGGTCCACAGGGACACATAGGGGTCCATAGCGTCCATAGGGACACATAGGGGTCCATAGGGACACATAGGGGTGCAGTGGGTCCATAGGGACACATGGGGGTCCATAGGGTCCACAGGGACACATAGGGAGACATAGGGTCCGTAGGCGTCCATAGGGACACATAGGTGTCCATAGAGTCCATAGGGACACATAGGGCTCCATAGTGCCCCATAGCGCCCCACAGCGCCCCATAGCGGCCCATGTCCCCCCAGGGCTGCAGAGCCTGCACCTGCTGACCCTGCAGGCCCCCTACGAGCTGCAGGCCCCCTACAAGAGGGGCTTCGGGAGGGCGGATGGAGAGTACTGGCTGGGGGAGAGTGGGGCTATAGGGACACATAGGGTCCATAGGGACACATAGGGGTCCATAGCGCCCCATAGCGCCCCACAGCGCCCCATAGCGGCCCGTGTCCCCCCAGGGCTGCAGAGCCTGCACCTGCTGACCCTGCAGGCCCCCTACGAGCTGCAGGCCCCCTACAAGAGGGGCTTCGGGAGGGCGGATGGAGAGTACTGGCTGGGGGAGAGTGGGGCTATAGGGACACATAGGGGTCCATAGAGTCCATAGGGACACATAGGGACACATAGTGCCCCATAGCGCCCCACAGCGCCCCCCATTGTCCCCGTGTCCCCCCAGGGCTGCAGAGCCTGCACCTGCTGACCCTGCAGGCCCCCTACGAGCTGCGCGTGGAGCTCGAGGACTTCCAGAACAATTCGGCCGCCGCCACCTACGGCTCCTTCGCGCTGGCGCCGGGCGCCGTGAGCGCCGAGGAGGACGGGTACAGCCTGCACGTGCAGGGCTTCCGCGACGGGGGGGCAGGTACGGACCCGGGACACCCAGGGGGAGACGCGTCTATGGGGCACGTACGGCTGCGACACACACTTATGGGGCTGGGCCCATGGAAAGAGAGCCACTCTTATGGGGCAGGGCCCATAGAGCCCCTCACTTATGTGTCACAACCCCCTGTTATGTGTCAGGCCCCATAGAGCCCCCCACTTATGGATCACAACCCCTACTTATGTGTCAGGCCCCATAGAGTCCCCTACTTATGTGTCAGGTCCCATAGACCCCCCACTTATGGGTCAGGTCCCCACTCATGGATCACAACCCCCACTTATGGGTCAGGTCCCCACTAACATGTCAGGCCCCATAGAGCCCCCACTTATGGGTCACAACCCCCACTTATGGGTCACCACCTCCACTTATGGCTCAGGCCCCATAGAGCCCCCACTTATGGGTCACCCCACCCCCCGTTCCGGCAGGGGACGCCCTGAGCTACCACCACGGGCAGAAGTTCTCGACGTTCGACCGGGACCAGGACCTGTTTGCGCAGAGCTGCGCCGCGCTCTCCTCGGGGGCCTGGTGGTTCCGCAGCTGCCACCTCTCCAACCTCAACGGCTTCTACCTGGGGGGGGCGCACCTCTCCTACGGCAACGGCCTCAACTGGGCCCGCTGGAAGGGCTTCCACTACTCCCTCAAGCGCAGCGAGATGAAGATCCGGCGCCTCTGACGGGAGCGGGGCAGGGGAACAGCGCCCCCTATCGATAGCACCGCCAAACAGCGCCCCCTAGTGATGGCACCGCCAAACAGCGCCCCCTGCTGACGACACCGCCAAAGAGCGCCCCCTGCTGACGAACCCGACAAACAGCGCCCCCTGCTGGTCACACCGCCAAACAGCGCCCCCTGTTGGTCATCCCGTCAAACAGCGCCCCCTGTTGGTCATCCCGTCAAACAGCGCCCCCTATTGCTAGCACCGCCAAACAGCGCCCCCTGCTGGTCATACCGCCAAACAGCGCCCCCTATTGATGGCACCGCCAAACAGCGCCCCCTATTGATGGCACCGCCAAAGAGCGCCCCCTATTGATGGCCACGCTAAACAGCGCCCCCTGCTGGTCATACCGCCAAACAGCGCCCCCTATTGATGGCACCGCGAAAGAGCGCCCCCTAGTGATGGCCACGCTAAAGAGCGCCCCCTGCTGGTCATATCGCCAAACAGCGCCCCCTATTGATGGCACCGCCAAAGAGCACCCCCTGCTGGCACACAGTGCACACCCCCCCTCCCCACACACGGAAGGCGTGACGTCATATTAAATGCACATGGTGATTGGCTGAGGAGTGAGGAGTGTGTGTGGGGAGTCTATGGGGTTCTCTAGGGCAGGGGGGACCCCGTTACCCCCCCATTGCCAGCATTCAGACACCGCGCTTGGGCAGCACCACTTTAATGGGGGGGGGGGCCTGCATGGTCCTTGGTGTGGGGGGGTCCAAGGGGGGATTTGGGGTCCCTGAGGGGGGTTGAGTCCATGAAGGGGGGGGGTGCAGGGTTCGGAACGGGCTGGGGGTGTTTGGGGGCGTTTCTTGGTGTTTCAGGACTGGTTTTGCCCGGTTTTGGCTGTTTCCATGGTGTTTTTGCCCGTTTCTCGCTGTTTCCATGGTGTTTTTGCCCGTTTCTCGCTGTTTCCGGGGTGTTTTTGCCGGTTTTTGGCTGTTTTGGGGGTGTTTTTGCCCGTTTCTCGCTGTTTCCGGGGTGTTTTTGCCCGTTTCCGGCTGTTTCGGGGTGTTTTTGCCCGTTTCTCGCTGTTTCCGGGGTGTTTTTGCCCGTTTCTGGGTGTTTTGGCCCCGTTCCGCTCTCAGTG